AGAATATATCCTCTTTGATGACTGCAGATTGTTTTTGGTTACTTCTTAGTTTTGTTTAGGTTATAATTTAACATTTACAGTGGATGGTTGTAGTATATTTCTATAGTGTATAGGTTTAACATAGAGAACATATGTTCTGTTCACTGCCCTTTTAAATAGATTGGAGGAAAGATACTACACTGTCAACAAAAAGTGAACAAGCTCTACGTGAGAATACTTTTTCTGGATGCTGTCTAGGATGAGTCATACAGACTCAGTGAGTCAGATCGCTACCAGTAAGGGAGTCAAGGCTGCTTCTTATGGCCTTGATTTGGCCCACCTATCACTACGGTCAGCAGCTTCAGCAGCACATGGAGGCACTTAACGTACTTTAATACTCTTGCATCAGAAACCCCTTTTTCTTGTCAAACTACTAACTTTTTGACCAATTGAACCACCAGGACAGGAGTCACTTCCTACTTACTGTCTCTTGGGATATCATTATGGATGTCCATCATTATCTATGTAGCTACATCACAAATGAATGTCCATAATATGCTTGGAAATCATATAAAAGATGACACTCCCCTAAGAGTGGTGCAGGAATCAGTCGGGAAATGAATGAGCAAAATACCACTTCTGTATCCCTTTTCTCAGTCAACGCGTGTTAGATGCCAGAAATAAGCTTAGGAGATCAAATAAGTCAGTAATTACCCCACTGAGGACATTTCTGAAGCAGAGGTTGCTAACAAGTGACTGAATGAGACTACTCAACATCATCATGCGGAAAATTAGCCGACTTTAGCTTCGCGGTGAAGACGTGACTTTGATGTAGTTTGTAATACCCTGATGTTAGCTTTTTACTTCTGCCAATTGCATTGTTACTTCATGGTGTTAATATGTGGAGATTATCCTGCTGAACAAAATGTGTAAGTATCATAAATGTGTGTTTGCAACAATTTTATTTTCTGCAATTTGCAAAACTCAATGGAAAATCACTTTTTTTGTAGGGAGCCCTTGTGATGCTAACTTCAGGGTCAGCCTGCACACATACATCATCACTGCACCACTCTATAACTGCAGAAGATTCAATCAATGTAACGCAGTTTGTGTTTTCTGTGCACCAATGGGTACAATGTGAACCAGAACTGCTCATGGCTAATTGCCATATTGTAAAAACATATAAATAAGTGTAGCTTAACAGGGTCAAGTTGTAGCACATTTTTTAGCATATTTTAACATGAAGAAACCTATTGATATGCCTGTGCTTTTTCTCTTGTTTGTAACAGGAGACCTGGAAGCCTTCAAGAAGCAGTGCTTTGTTCTGAAGGAGGGCGTTGAATACAAAATAAAGATCAGCTTTAAGGTGAGAGCTGTGCTAGATGCAGGAAATATGCTCATAGGGTATCTCCCCCTGGCATCTACTGCCATTATGGAAAAGGTTCTGTCCTAATACATCAGAGCTGATTCATTTGACACTGCTAATATTTGAACATTTCTGATATTGGTTATTGGGATTCTTTGTCAGTGAAGACAAAATAATGGTGAAACAGTCCACTTTTCAGCCAAATGCTGGCTAATGAATCCTGCTGTGGTGCTCGGGTCAAACCGTTTGACTACTTTCAGCAACCATAAATACTGTGTTTAACATTTGATTGCCTCAAGGCCTTATGATATCCTCCACAGTCAACATTTGAACATATAACATTGCTGATCACTTTCATTGAATTTTGAGTGGTTTAGTAGACACCTTTGATGTTCCCGGTCAAAAATGACTTTCATAGGAAATGAATGAGTATGAGTAAGCAGTAAAAACAGACCAGTCACATTTGGCCCGGGATCACCAAAGTAAGGGGGAGGGAAACGAACACAACAGGAGGGTTGGACGTAAACAACTGCACACTTTGAAAACAGAAATATATCTAAAAGGTTAGAGATGTGCCTGCATCCCCATACTTTGACCTTTTCTCTCTCTGATTCAAGCATACCTTGCCTCAAGTATTTTTTTATATTCTAACCCTCGATATGACCCTGTAACAATGTGTGTCTCTCCTCAGGTGAACAAGGAGATAGTTTCGGGTCTGAAGTACGTGCAGCAGACGTACAGGAAAGGAATTAAGAGTGAGTGAAGAATTTCTGATGACTGTCTGTTGAAAAACACCAGTTTCTCTCATGTCAATCCCAATATGCCTTCTACACAGAAACAACTGAAACGTTGACTTTAAGTGTATTATGTCAACAGATTTGACATAACTGTATTAGGTTAGCTGAAAACAATAATATTATGTTCAACCTATTTTTTACTTAAACTTAATATTATTGCTTTCACCTAATACAGTTATTTGAAATCTGTTAACATCATGCATTTAATTAAAGTCAACGTTTCAGTTTTTTCAGTGTGGGTAACTTAAAGATATTGGTATGTATGTATAGTTTACTTTGAGTGTAATTCAGTTAAACAGTATTCGAGTCAAGTGAATGACACACTACCTGATCTCATGGGGTTCAGATACCCTGCTTCCCAAACTTTGATTTTCTAACCAATGATTCTTCTCTTAATTTATGAATTTATCTTAGCAAACTCCCACAATGTTTATTAATATCTTCCTTTCTTTATGAATTAATCTCGGAGCTGTCAATCGTATCAGTAATTAATGCTCAAGCAGCAACAGCAGCATGGTTATATCCTTCATGTTAAATACACATGAATCGTAGATATAGAGTCTCTGATATCCCGGTCTGTACTCACTGTCAGATCCACACAGATCGATGTATTTCCCTCTCTGACACTAATGGCGCATTTCCACTACAGCGCGGTTTAAGCGTGCCGTGCCCGGTCCGTTTTTGGTTGCGTTTCCACTAGGCGTAGTTCCGGCTAGCGGGTACTTTTTCACAGTTTTTCTGGCTCTCCAAAATCGAGGTTCTTTCCGGGCCAACAACTGGGCTGAGTATGCTAAACTAGTGAGAGAATCGCTGGCAACTACAACAAAATGAACATTTTACCGTGATTTAATTGTAATACACGTTTCAAAATGATGCCGAAGTAACAACATACTGATACCGGTTAGTAAAAACCATGAATTAATGCTTTGACAAGTCTGCAGACAGACGGCAGGGGAAACACCTTTTAAAATGCGTGTTTTCTGAATGGAGATCGGCTAAGCTAACGCAGTATATGCTCCGACCGTCCACACTCACAACAACGGCCTACAGACATAAATAAAGCAGCGACTGTATTCGCCATGACACAGGCAGTCTGTGGTTTGTACTTGTTTAACTTCTGTCTAGTTTCTGAACAGATATGAGGAGCTGTGAGCTCTGAGTGCTAACAGCTAACGGCTGATGTTGATTTTGTGTTTCGCATTGAAGATGACGTCACGGCTCCGCCTACACTGCGTTACTATAGTTACTACCCAAGTTCCTAAACTGTAATGGAAACGCAGCATAAAGTGAGCCTGGCCTAACCATACCGTATTAAGCCGTGCGAGGCCCTGCAGTGGAAATGCGCCATAACATCCAGTCTTGTGTGTTTCCAGTTGATAAGTCTGACTACATGGTGGGCAGCTACGGCCCCCGCTGCACTGAACACGAATACTCCACCACGATGGAGGAGGCCCCCAAAGGCCTGCTGGCCCGCGGAAACTACGTAATCAAATCCAAGTTCACCGACGACGACCAGCACGACCACCTGTCCTGGGAGTGGAACCTGAACGTCAAGAAAGACTGGAAAGACTAAAGGAGGCCTTCGTGTTCTTTCTGGGGGGGGCCGAGGGAATATAACAAATAAAAAAAAACCTGTACATTTCTCAGCCCCCCCCACTCATCCCATGTCCACCATTTCTGCCTTTTTCTTTTTGCATTTCATGCCTTTGTTACTGCCATCGCTGTCTTAAACCAACCCCCCACCATCACATCCCTCCGTCCATCCTCCCTATCCGCACTCACCAACATGCCATCCTCAATCACTCACCCCCCCCCCCCACCTCCCATGTAGCACCTTAAACTCCCCCCACCTCCCATGTAGCACCTTAAACTCCCCCCCCCCCCATGTAGCACCTTAACCCCCCCCCCCCCCCCTGCTTTTCTTTTGTCCCCAGATCTTTGCTGCTTGAAGAGATTAACCCCCCCACCCCTGCAGAATGGTGTCTTCCTCTCTCAGTGCGTAGTACGAAGCAACTGTACAATCAACTTTAGTTTGTTTGCCTTTTATATATAATTGTATCAATGGTCGTGTACTGTGACCATATCACTGTTAATCAGCTGTTGTGTCCATAGCGGGGCCCCACCCACATCCACCTGCCCCCCCCACATCCACCTGCCCCCCCACCCTTCCACCTCCTATAGCTTTCCTTTGCTTGCTGTCTTTTTGATGTAATTACCAATACCTGCCTTGTAAGAAGAGTTAATTCAGAGCTCTCCCTTCCAAATGGGGCCTAAGTGACCAAGGGAGTACAAAATATTAGGATAAAAAAAAAGCTGCCTTATGTCTAAATCTAATTTAGCATGCCTTGTCAGTACATGCAGTGCTCACTGTTAGGTAATCTGTACTTTAAGGGCTTACCAAGCTACAGACAAGTTAGCATCCGTAGCCCGTTACTCAGATACAGGCTCTGCGAAATAAACTCACCTTGTGATTGGAGGAGACTGTATGTTGAGAATTGGAACCAGTGAACTATTGAACCTCTCCTTCCTTTTAGCCATGAGGCCTTAGCACTGACTATGATCATGTGGCGACAAATATACATTTCTAATTAAGCCTTTTTTTCCCCTTTGCCTTGATGTACATCATTCCTCATACAAAGCCCCCCCCCCCCCACTCCTCCTTCCATTACTTCAGTCAGCAGACCCCAGGTGGAGGAGTAGAAGCAGAGAAAGTGCAGGAGTAGGTGTCAGACGCTGGTAGTGAAGAGGAAACCAGTGAAAGGAAGGTGACACGAGCAGAGAACACGCTCCATATTTAATGAGGGGTTTGAAACTGACCTGAAACATTTGTTGAAATCGACTCGTACTGTACCAGAACATATGGATGTATAACTTTTATTTTGGTTCTTCTGATAATGTATTCCTGCGCCATACATTCCTTCACATTGTACAGTTTCTATGAAAACGCTGGCATGCTGGTGGGGTTGTATATTCTATCATGTGTTATTGCTCTTCTCGGCCAATAAAGATTTTGCTCAACTCGGCCTCCATCACGGGTGTTGTGTCAAATAGTAGCACTGCTTTTACCCAGGAGTTATGTTTTCCTGTGTCTTTAAAAGGGACATTAGGTTCAGTTTCAGTTTTTACTGAACCCGGGGCATTTGGAAAGAATTTGACACTTCTGGAAGCTCTTACAGAAAGATGCTTCAAATTGACATGCTGTGTAAGTTCTGCATTATTTCATTACAGTAATACCTGTCATACCAACATAAACATCTTTTGACAGGACACACTTAAAGGCCTAAAATGCTTATTTCAATGTGCTTATGATAATATCGTAATTTGACAGAATTATATTCAAGATAATATTTTTTTTAAAGAAAATAATTGTAACAAAGATATGTGTCCCTGTGATACTGGTGTATCAGCTTTTAAAACGGCATTTGGGCAGGAAAAAACAAACAGAAACAACAGAGCCTTAATAATGTATGCCCATACTGTATTTCATACTTAACAGTGTACGTTTGCCAAAAGCAAAATAGAAATATGACTTAGAAATGTATATCGAAAGGCACAGCATCAAAATACAATTTGACATGCAAGTTTTTCTTTAAAATTGGAGTAAACATTCAAACGTTGACCCATCCGGCCTGTCTGTTGAATCCTAACAGCCGTCCGTCACAGGGTGAATACTTAGCTTAGCTTAGCATAGCCGAGGGGTCGTTGCTTTCAGAAGCCTCCAGTCAAACAAAAAAGGCAAAATCACTACTGGCGTACAGTACTAAGGATAGAGCATGCATTCTCCTAAAGCTCATGAAAGATCTGATGTTTGTAACAAAACATTTTCCATAAAAATCCCTCTGAACATGACTTCCATTATTAGCACCCAAAACTCTCCGCTCAAGACTTTACATCACTGTCAGGACAGATGGCCCCTGTACATAAATATACATATTAAATATACATTCAGAGGAGCAGGGAGAAATGAGCATGCAAAATTTGGTCCACCAAAAACAGAAAGCATCGACCCGAGACTCACCCTGAGAAACAACACGGACCTCTTGGAGTTTCCCCCAAAGGACACGTAAAACTGGGGCTGGTTTTTGGCACATTTACGGTAATTTTTGTCTTATACTAGTAACCACACCCTACACCTGACTGGCTTTTTTTTTCCCTCCACCCCTTCAGGGGTCAAGAAGGCTAAAACCGTGAGCTCGCACTGTGCATGGCTTTTAGGTCTCTTAATACGGATTTTACACAAAGTATCAGAGGAGCAAAGCACATTAAAATATTCCAGTTAAAAAATACAACAATAAAGACGTAATAAAAAAGTGGATGTGAGTCCACAGGAGGTGCAGTTCAGCTTATCATACAGTAGATCTGCCAAAACAAAAAGGCCCAAAACACTAAAAACCCTGAAATCTAAACGTTGTTCCAGTTACTGTCAATGTGCTGTGCAGGTGTTGCTGCTGCCCGCTCTCTTCCTGTGTCGTCTGAGTTGGGCAAAAGAAGATTCTGTAATACTTTTTATCTCCATGTTTTTAAAGGTTCATCTTGAGAGTTTGCTGATGACTCGAATGAGCGCGGCGTTCTCGTCCTTCAGCCTCTGGTTGTCTGTTCTGAGGTCCCCCAGAACCTGCAGGAACATCAACAAGCGTTAGATTATATTTACCATAAAATAAAAAGGTTTACTTCATAAAGTACAATAATTTGTATGAAATTAGACGATTAGCTTTCATGTGAGTTACTTTGAAAACACTGCACACCACTTTGCATTATCTTGGGAACCGGTTTTACAAAACAAGTACATTCACTTTGTGACACACCCATAAACACAACTGACACACTGACAGGTCCTGGTTGCTGCACTTGACCTGTGGCAGTGCAATAACAGACGCACGGTAGCTCCAAGTCAACTCTTCACTTTTCAGATAATCAGAACCCAAAATGAGGTAAATGCTTACTTTTAAATAAAATTACACAGAATATCTTTCGTTTTTAACCATATGATAATGCATATGTGGGATCGTGCATCGTGCAACACTTTCAGATATCACTAAAAGGAGAAATGTGAATAGTGTTAACAGCGGTGACAGCAGGTCTAACTTAAAACTCATAGTGACCTCTAGCGGCCAGTTATGGATTAGTCTACACGCCAATTATACGTATATCCTATAGAAATCCCTAGGTGCATTTCTACTTGTTGCTCCAAACTACAATGGAGTTTCAGCATTTTGTTTTTCTTTACGTGTCTGTATATTTAGTCTCAACCTGTTTCAGATCAAGATATTTATCAAAGACAACATCCTGTTTCAATCCATATCGACGTCACTTGTACATCATTATGTTGAAAAAAGTTATATATAATAAAGGAATTTGATTTAATAAAACGCATTATTTAATCTGATGGAAAGTAGCACCTCTCTAGCAGGGGGTAAAAAGGGGGTAAAAGTTCTCATGAACTAAGTACCCTTTTTGGTGTGAACGCAAAATCCCAGGAACTATCGGAACTAAACGGGAAAAATACGGGGAAAAGTACTCCGGTGTGAAAGCGCCTATTGGCTCAGCCATAATGCCATGGACTACACTAAATTAATTCAGATTTTTTATTTTGATGATGCTTACATGTAATGCGCTTTCACTTCATAAACTAAATGTATTTTCTTTTTGGAGACTTTCCATGTGAAAGCGGCATTACATGTGCAACTGTTCTACTCTGTGTTATCTGGAAATAGCCTGTCAATCTTAATGTGTCTATAATGAACCACGTACCTTCAGCTCATCCTCCAATTCCACTGCCTTCCTCTGGAGGGACAGCTTCTCCTGTGGAACAGTTTGAACATCATTTCACCTGACAACATTTCACTTCTTCTCTAAAGGACCTGCTAAAATATGTTATCACATATCATAAAGTAAATGTAGCTAACGCATCAACATACACAGTTCAACTCTGGAACAGGAAATGACTGTTTTGTTTTATTTACGTTCCTTTATAGTCGAGTTGCCAGCACTTTGAACCCGGAAATGTTGAAAAGTAAGAAATGTATGGTACAGGTCCCCAGCGCATAGAAAGTGCCAGATGCTAACTTGCATATGTTGGGCAATTTGCACAATTAGCATAAGTTGCGTTAGTTACCATTAAATTGCATTATAGCGTATGAAGACAGTAGTTAAAAAATGGCTTGGCCGATATCGACAATTTTGGAGAGATTGTGGGGGTTATTGAGGATGCCGAGTCAATTTCTGACATGTTCAGGAACCAAAATGGCAGTTTTAACCAGCAAGTGGCAATATTTGTACTCTCTGTGGGCCGATTGTTGGCCACTTTCTGGTTAAAACTGCCATTTTGGATCCTGAAAATATCAGAAATGGATTCGGAATCCTCAATAACTAAAAGGCCAAGACGTTTTTTAACTATTGTCTGCATAGGCTATAATGGTAATAATTATAGTTAATGCAACTTAAAGGTGGGGTAGGTAAGTTTGAGAAACCGGCTCGAGATACACTTTCTGTTATATTCCATGGAATGCTCTTAACATCCCGATAGCAATGAATATCTTAAGTGCTTTGACAAAAAATCCATAAAAAAATATCATCTGTGGAAGCCGTAGTACTGTAAAAAGCACGACCAATCATTTTAGCCAGCCCGGCTAAAATAACTGGATGGCCTACCTGCCTGTCAGCCTTCCATCTGGGCACAAACTTATCTCGTGCCCTCATTGGTCATGTGCGCGTTCGTGTGTGTTGGAGGAGGGGCTCTGTAAGGAAGTGGCAGATTTTCTCCGGTTGTGTATTTTCAAATTCTAGTGATCTCGAGCCGGTTTCTCCAAAATTACCTACCCCACCTTTAAGATAATTGTGCTAATTGCCAATCATATGAAAGTTAGCATCTGGCAGTTTCTTTGTGTTGGTGACCAGTACTATACATTTATCAAATTCAACTTTGAGGTACTCAACATTTACGGGTTCACAACAGGACTCTGAGCTGGCAAACAGACTGTTAGTTGTCATGGTTTTTATATATACAGTACAGGAGGTTTGTTCCTAGAGATAGAGACACAGTGAGAAAATAAATGAAGACTTACAAATCTCTCCAGTTCCAGCAGGGCCGGTCTGTCGGTGCCGCTGTCTTGATTCTGCCACAGAGACACAGTGTTAAACAGCTGACCGTTCAACTACACAACCCTCATTTCTGTTGCACACTTCTCAAATACACTCACTTCTGATAGCAGAGGCCAGATTAGAGGGTTAGAGAGGTATGTTTAGCCTAAAGCAAGAGTTTCCCTTATGGCTGCTGTCTTTTAACCTGGCTAAATCACCATGGCAACTTATGCTGCAGACATAACATGATCAGAGGAATCCATTGTTACCAACTATGTTTCGATAGCTTGTCGATGAAGGGCCAAAAAGATACTCCAGAGTTAGGCTAGCTTCTGGTGAAATAAGTTGGCCAATTGCCCACATTTTTACTTCTTATGTTTATACAATATATTTCAAGTTAAAAAGGAAAAACTGTCATAAAAAAACAATTCCCCCTGGGCGTATTAGTACATTTGATTCTGATTCTGGTTCATCCTTGAGGGAAATATTTTCATTGCATCACACATAAGCCCAAAATACACATGCCCAAAACAGCACCTATACTCATTTGTTAGTACACACACTTTCGGTTCTACAGACCGAGTCCGTCCCTACAGGCCCGAGGCCCTACAGGCCCTACAGGCCCGAGGCCCTACAGGACCGAGGCCCTACAGACCGAGGCCCTACAGACCGAGGCCCTACAGACCGAGGCCCTACAGACTGAGCTACTACAGACCGAGCTACTACAGACCGAGCTACTACAGACCGAGCTACTACAGACCGAGCTACTACTGCCGCCCAGAGAGAATACAAGCAGTAAAAGTCTCTAATCGACAATTCCAAACAGAAAAGACTGGGAATGGAGGACTTGTGCTGGTTTAGAAACTCACAGCTGTTAAAAATAAAATGAAACAAGCTATTAAAGGAGGATTTGTGCTGCCCTCCACGTTCACACACACTCATTTAACCGCTGACTTAGATAACATCAGCATCTCTCTGTTTTTAATGTCCAGTGGTGTGAAGTAACTAAGTAGATTTACTCAAGTACTGTACTTAGGTAACATTTGACAGACGTGTACTTTACTTGAGTATTTCAGTGTGTTGCTACTTCCACCCCGCTACAATTCAAAGGTAAATGGTGTACTTCTACTCCACTACATGTAGTTAATACCTTTAGTTACTTTACAGATGTGGATGAATGATGTGAAATATAATCAAGCCTTAAATCAGACTTTAGTTCCACCTGGAGTAAATTCACAAGCTACCCTGCAGTATACAAAGTCATTCAAACTAGCTGCACCTTTACCAGCTTTGAGAACACTTTCATGATCAATCATTATAAAACATATCATATATATTATTCTGAAATGGACCAATCTGCACAATGACTACTTTTACTGTCGCTACTTTCACTATATTTTGATGCACATTTACCTGTTGGAGTCTCTCCAGCTCCACCTTGTTCTGGCCGAGCAGCAGCTCCTTCTCCTGCAGCTTGTCCTTCAGAGCCAGGTTCTCCTGCAGGACCTTTAGGTAGAGCTAGAGGGACACACACACACACACACACACACACACCAAACCTTGAGACTACAAAACCCTGAAGAGATAGTGTCCTTAGTGCAGAGAGGAGCAGCTTGGTGGATGCTACAGTTGAGTCTGGCAGGGTTTCCTGGTAATTCCTCACTAGAGCATGTTGGGTAATCATTCCTGCCCTGATGTGTCTACACCTCAGATATAATTCAGTGTCAGCCCTCAGGTATGTTTTTCAGGAATGTGTGATCTTTTCTGTAAGAAGGTCAGAAACGTACCGTTCTGTAGTCAGAGGAGGGGTCTCCTGGTAGACTCTCACTGCGGAGACAAACAAGAGATATTAATCATCACAGGGCTATACATTTCCATCTTAAAATGTACATTCATGAACTGGAAATAATACATTTCTGTTCACTACACAGTGGCAAACCAACAGGTTCATATAGAATATAACAGTCACAGTCTTCTCCAGCGAACCTTTAAATCCATCCAGAAAATAACAAAAGCCATAACATGGCAACAAATCTGGGTTTTTGTTTTTTTTGGGAAAGAAAAAAAATAGTACTAAAAATAAATGATTCTGCTTTCTTGGCTTGTCTCTGATACGATGCAATATAAAAACAACATCAAAAAGAGATGAAGAAAATGAACGACTGAAACCATATGCAAGAGCTTAAAAACAGTAACACTTACTTGGAGTTACTGTTACTGTTCCAATCGTCCAAATGAGCGTCCTCCTCTTCATTCTTCAAACAAAACAAAGAAATCTCACTATCTGCACAGCACTGTACTTCCATCTGAATGAAGACATACTACAAAGAAGGGCACTTCACAAATCTGTGTGTTCTTAACCACACTTTATTCATTACATGTTGTTACATATGATCTGTCTCAGCTTGTTGCAGCATTGTATTTACAGCAGTTGTATTTAGTTTAAATGTTGTACCAAATGATGTATGTAGTCAACTGACTGTCAAATCAAAGAAGCACAAATGAATATTTTACAAACATTGAACTGGAAAAGTTAAAAAAAAGTCTGCGTTTAAAATAATATGCAAAGCAGGAAGCTTTTGCAAATGTGCAACATCAAATAAAGTGCTCCACTTTAGAATGAAATAACACATTTTAGCTTGAATGACCATTTTTCTATTTATTTTTTTAAACTTTGAATAGACTAAAATAATGTTATAGTATAAATGTTGAACAGCTTTGACCTTCTTTTTTCTTTCTTTCAAAAACATATATATTGTTGAGTTTATCCTGCCTGGATTTTAAACCTGGGTCTAAATGGAATTAGATATATTCTCATAAACATATGCAGCTGCTCATTGATGACCTTGGAAACATATTTAATAACCTTCATAATGGAGAAAGCTGCCTAAAAGGCTGTATGTGAGACATGTTCAAGATCTGCCTACTGTCCCAGAGAGCAGTTGGGTTTTGTCTTATGGTGGCACTTCAAATGTCCTTTCTCCTACTTTCCACATCACTGCAAAAATGAATTGATTAGATAGTTACCTCTGCGTCTGGCAGAACGATGCCAGTGGAGCGTCTCTCCTTCCTCCCTCTCCTCCTGTCCTTCACTCCCAGACGCTTCTCCCCCTCCGCCTCCACCTGGCTCAGCGCGTCTGTATCTGAAACACATGCAGGCCCACAGAACCAAGTCAGTGTTTCCCCTACCATTGTCTTGGATTTTTTTTTTTTTTATATAATTTTTTCTTTAATATATATATATAAATATATATATATCTATATATATATATATATATATATATATATATATATATATATATATATAGCTCCAAATTGCAACTAATCTATATCTACTGTCACTTTTTACATTGAACATGTGCCCGTGTGGAGTCTAGTAGTCTAGTACCAGGAGTCTAGACCCAGGGGGGAAGGGGGTTGTCCGGTGCCTTGCTCAAAGGCACCACGGCAGGGCCCAGGAGGTGAACTAGGACTCCTAGTTTATTAAATAAACTAAACGCTTTCATTTGAAGTTGTGAGTTTAGTGTTTTTGACCCTAAGAAACACTGATGCATTAATCAATAACAATAATCCACAGCCCCTCTCTCTGCTCCAGAGGATGTAAATAATATATATCCCAATGCCACGCTTCTATTGGCTAGCGCTCCAATACATTGTACCTGATAGGCTAAGGGTCTGAACATCTCTAAGCAGCTGTCACAAAAGAGCCGACAACCAATCAGAGCAGTCTGGCCTCTGGTAGAAGGTTTAGTTACTTTGCATTGTTCATAAGGAATAGAATGCATTATCCACACATTAACTTATACTTTAGCTGGATTTAAAAATGGCCATTCTGCTTGACAGTACTTTGAGTATATTTTGAAGCCTATACTTTTACTTAGGTAAAACTTTGAATGCAGGACTTGTAACAAAGTATTTCTACCTAAACTGTGGTATTTCTTCCAACTCTAGTCATCAAGTATCCAAATTGTACTTTCTGTTAAACAGGAAGCTCCCTTTTCTTTGTCAGATCTCTGCAAGTTGAGTCTTGAGTCCCCCATCAGAAAAACCAAACAAGAGGAGTGTGGGAGGGGGCGAAAAAACACCATAAAGAGGAAGATGTACACAACCAACTACACTGACTTTATGGTAAACCACGCCTAATGGTCAACACCAGCAGCAGAAGCTCATGCGAGCAAACCTCATTTCCTATCTGGCAGGGTACTCCACCCAAAACATGCATCATGTTTATATTTGGCAGTCTGCATAACAGTAAACATTTGACTGGTGCGCACCCCTTTCAGCAGGCGTGATGGTAACGATGGGGCTGACAGGCTGGATGTTGCGAGGGGGGGGGCTCTTCAGCTTTAGCCACCGTCTTCTCCGCTTCCTTCAAATCTGTCAGAGTCACACCCTGCAGGCACAGAGCAGAGAACGAAATCACGCAACAGTTTCTTAGAAATGTATTCTGCCTCTCCATCGAGAAGTTAACCACATTCAGTGACTCACTCGTTCCAAACTGTGTTCAGGAAGGTGCTACAATATTGTGGACCAATACTCAAATTGGCTAAAGCTACTCAATACTCATTTTACATGAATGCCTTTGAACATTTGTTTGGAGTTCTGGATGTAAATGGTCCAAAGATAATAAATATAATGATTCTGTTTGGTAAAATACATCTTTTTAAGTATTCAGGATTGCTTTTTTAAATTTCATTGTACCTGGTGCAATGACAATAAAGGAACTATAATCTATTCTTATCTTGATTAAGGGGTTTCGAAGAAACACATTGCAAATCCAATTTCTATTGGAAAAAATGATTGCCACAAACCATTACAAGGTACAAAGGTACATTCTATTTAGACGGATAACAGCACCGTATAGCACTTCATTACTTTACATTTAAAGGCACTCAAGGTCATTTCAAAATGTATTTCAGTGTATCTGTAAGGTCAGTGCTTCGATAGCTATTTGAAGAAACAAGGGAATGAGATTAGAAGGTAGAGAAAATGGAGCTGTTATGTTATAGTAGCACATGCAGCCTTTCCACTTTCTCCTATGATATCTGTGTTGTTGTCTTGGTTTTTACTTTCCTTCCCTACCACACACTTGTAGACACAGAAGGCAGTAGGGCAGTGAAGAGAAGAGATGCCTCAAAGATTCTTTTTTTTTGCCATGTAAACAAAAATACAACAAGAAGAAGCAGCAGTACCTGTGTGGAGCGGCGAGACTGCCGCATCAGCCGTGAGCGAGCTTTCCTCTGAGACTCAGACTCCTCGTCTCTGCTTGGAGCCTGGAACCTAAACACATCAACAAATCATGTGTTACCTACACAGTATTAAGGCCGCTTTCTACAAACAAACACTAACACCCGCTAACATCTGGCTTTCTCTTGAGGGACATTTTAGATGTCATAATAAATGTGTTGATGTTGTTGATGCCTATGAGATTAACTATGTTAGGAAGTCACGTACTGAGGAAGCTGAATGTTCGATTGTATCAAACTTGCCATAAGGTCAGCATTTTTTTTGAATAATGATGTTTAGGAAACACACTCTGAAATAACAGAATAAAACATATGGTCTTTCCTGCCATGCCACATGAAGTTAAAGTATTCAGAACTATCAACTCTCAATATTATGAAGAATTTCTCTGACATTTCTTTTGTGGGAAAGGTTACATGCAGCAAACAACAAGTGATCCTAAACAAGTGATGGAAAGGATATTTATATTTATAAGATTAGGGATTTTGACAGTTATTATAATCCATCAATGTTCAAAACGTACTTCTACAATGCTCTCCTGCCACCAGACTCTGCTTGACAGAGTCAGACATACTAGCAGAACCTTTTTTAACACCAACTCTGGGATGAACTAATCGGAAAAAGTCAAACATATTGCCTAGTTCAGCAGGTTTTCCAAGGTTTAAAAACCTGCATATACACACCAGTTTTGTTAGAAACAGGGTATTAAATAACCCTTATACCAGGCATGACAGGTTGTTGGATAGGGCATAAAGTAGAATTAAGTGGTATTAAATGAGGGTTCCTGTCTTGTTTCTTACTTGCGCCTGTCTGTGTTGGGGGTGTTGGGGCTCTCAGCCGCGCCTTCCCTGGTCTGAGGGGTGGGTTGGACTCTGGCGGTGCGGTTAGCCTTGTCCTGCTCCTTCTCCTCATCATCTCTCTCCTCTGGTGTCTGAAAAACACAAGAAAAACACCAGAAACTTAACTGTAATGAACTGTTCCAAATCCAAATGCTATGGCCCTAGGGGGGAAGCGTAATTAATGTCAACGTGCTGTTCAAATTTGTCTTTTTAGATCACAGTAAGAAAAGACCAGAAGAAGTTTCTTCACATGTCTTCATCAGAAGTGTGTCTAAAACCTCTGTTGAAATGATGTGTGTGAGGGCGGGAACTCTTAGATTAAATCAGTAAGTATTCAATGAGATTTACTCCTCCATTTGGAATATCTATCACTGATGTTGGTTTTAATATTGCATGTACATTAGATATACCACAATCTGACCTCTTCTCAGGTGTCTTTGATATCAACACTATTGAATCAAAATACCAATCCTTACTGCACATTTGTTTCTATTAAACTGCCATTCAAGTTTGTGGGAGCTTTAATGACATCAATGGTTAGTATTGTTACGTTGAACCCAAACAAGCTATTTCTAATGCATATGCTATGTGGAGTGTGTGAGTATCCCATATAACAGAAGAAAAGGATGATGAATATGCAATATTATGTCTTATTCAACAATCAGACTATTACTAATTGTAGAACACAAATTAACCAAAGATCTCCAGAGAAGAGTAAAATATGTTTGCAATATCAAAGATGTTTTACTACATTTGGAAGAGTTGGCAGAAAGAAACAGTTTTTTGATTTTGGACTTTTGATCAGTGATTTTTACCTTGTCCGCAGGGCTAACTGTGGACGCGGTCGCACTCTCTGGACTGGACACGGTGGAGCTTTCTGGAAAAGGGGAGAGAGCATATATTTGAATCAGCATGCAAACAGATGTGTAGTAGTTCTGGTCAGACTGTCAGAAGAGCCGCTGTCTTACCGGGGCTGCTTTCTTTCTCCTCGCTCAGCTCCAGGCCCCCTGACACGCCTCTCTCTTTGGACTGGTCCTGCACGTTCATCTTTTCTTTACTGCTCATCCTGCACACTGAGCTCCTGGAAAGAGGACAGCAGCTAGTTATGAGGGGCCTCAATGGATGAGATAAAGGGAGACTTGTTTAGGTCTCCCTGCGCTTATTACATGCTACTGTTTATTTTGCCGTAATATATGTTGTTACAAAGAGTAAGGAATTTAACGTTAACACCTAATAGATTGGTGCATGAATGAGTCCTTAAACCAGGATATTGGTTAGCATTTACTGTTTAACGGTTCTTTCTTCTGAAAGTCAACGTTTTTCTAAAGCTGATGATTTGTTTGGTTCTAACATTTTAATTACATCAGTATATACCCTACTGGTGAATGTGCCATAAAAACAGCTGCTGCTAACATCGACTTCATGAGACTGCTAAACGTCATCACGCTAAACATTAGCCACCTTTAGCCTAACGGTGGTGACCTGAAGTTACATGACCATCATGTAGTTAGTTTATAGCCTAACTTTAGCTTTTCACTTCTGTTTTGCATTTGCCAAATATGCCATTGCTTATTCACTGCTCACTCTATACCTGTCAGGGAAACCTGCCCTAAATGTTCACAGGAAGGAACCCATTTTATTAAAAAAAAGAGAGAGAAACACGTGTTATTCAGATAAGTTGCATATTGATATGTACCTCCGCCGTTTGTTTTGTGCGTTTGCAGCAGTGGAGCCTTGTTGGTTTTGCTTTTCCAATATGGACTGTGGAGAGATAGAGGGAGCTGTGAGTGATCTTTTGAATCACCTTAAGTAAATGCATGTAACACTAGGAAGGCAAACTCTTTCTCACATTTGCTTGATTCTGTGATAACTCTTCCAAGAGCTCCTCAACGCTTTCATCAGCCACATCATATGGTGTCTGACCCTACAAAATAAAGAAACAATTGAAAACAAACTTATTATGATATGTGATGTTAGATTTACAGTAAAGTACAGTTAGCTCCCCAATGAGTTAACTTAAAGGTCCCATGACATGGCCATTTCTACTGATCATAATTCCATTGTTGAGGTATACTAAAATAGATTTATATTGTGCAATTTTCCAAACTCACATTGGTTTCTCATACAGCATCTCTGTATAGTATGTGTATTCACTCTCTGTCCTAAACGGCTTGTTGGAGATCCTGCCCCCCCCCCCCTGTGAGCCCAGTGGCCGTCTGCGAGACAGCGAGACACAGCGAAACCTAGCCCGAACACACACACACCTGCAGCCTGGCTCACAGCCTCGCCGCGTCCCGCCGTCTCAGGGAGGAGAAATCGGCGGAGCTGCAGCTGAGAAAATATTGAGTGTGTGTGTGTGTGAGGAAGTCCACGGATTGGTCCATTTGGACCAATCCACAGACGTGACGTAACGGCTCCGCGGACGTAACGGCTCCACGGATTGGTCCATTTGGACCAATGGGTCCATTTGGGTATGGGCACATCACTGTACCCAGGAAGAAAAAGAGAAATCTCCAACGAGGCGTTCTGGGGCAGCATAGACAGGTATTTTCTGTGTTAGAGTTTTACTCGCTACAGGGTGTACTTTGAAGGTTTGTGACTCTGCAGACCGTTTACATGTCATAACACACAAGGGGACGGGTAATAACCGGAAAAGCATGACATGGGACCTTTAAAGATCTCCTATCATGCTATTTTTAGGCATATATTATGGGTCTCAGATATATAAAAAACATGTATATGATGTGTTTTGCTCAAAATACCAAACAGATAAGGCATCCCTCATACCCCTCTATTTCAGCCCTGTTAGAGAAGTGCTGATTCTTGGTCAGTAGCTGCTGGCCCCGCCCCCTTTTGAGCACGGCAAGGCAAGCTGTGAGCTGCAGATGGAAGAGAGGGGCTGCACTGAGCAGATACAGCTTAATGCTGCCGTAATTAAATGCCATATCATGTTCCAAACCACATCAAGGATTATTTCTGAAACAGTATGGAGCTCAAATGCTTTTTCTCTTGCGGGTTTACCACAAGGTGAGTTCTTTTTTTTTAATTTCCTGCTTCTTTACACATACTCTCTCCAGTACAGCGTTAGCTCCAAGTGTTAGCGATGCTTGCTAATGTAAACAAAGACCATATTACGTCCAAAACACGTCGCGCATTGTTTCTGATAGCAACGTTATAAGGGCCGTGGGCGTACAGCCAGCCCACATTTCCGATATTACGTCATATCGGCAGCAAATCTGGATCAGCTCCGTTGTACCCCCATTTTTAGAGATTTGGGTACGGAGGAAAAGAGAGAGGGTTTTGTTTTCTGAAACTTTGTTCCCTGACACACCGGGGACACATATTTATGTATAAAAGACATCAAAAAGGGCATTTAGCATGATAGGAGACCTTTAATGTCAAAGAAATTGATTATCTTTTGAGCCTCACCGCATTGCTTCGGGCCTCCATATTGCACAGCTGCTCAGCCAGAATGCGACAGGCCTCCCCCTGACCCCAGTGTGCCGCCGCATGGAGAGGCGTCCAGCCGTCCAAGTCCTTCGCTGACACGTCAAGCTCACACTGACACAGAATTCTGGACAACATAACAGGAAGGTTTTAACAAAACTGTATAACAAAAGAGTCTTCCTGAAAGAAAATATAACAATAAAATATTCATAAATTAATTATTAAAATAATTTCTTACTTGAGGGCCTCTTGGTAGCCTTTGGCAGCCGCCACATGCAGTGGGGTAGCCCCGGTTTTGGGGTGTCGAACATCAGCAGGGAGGCCCTCAGTCAGCCAGGTCCGGGCATCCGCCATGATCTGCTCTTCCTCCAGACGCTTGGCTGCATCCAGGTCCACACCTGGACACCAATAGACAATATAAAATAAACGCCTCCCTTGTTTTATAATTTTAATCAAATTTGATTGGGCTTTATTGGCATGAATGTTACAGGTAACAATGACAATACTCCCGCCTCACTCACCCAGTCTCACAGTGTAACTCTGAAGGAGGGACTCAGTGGCCTCGTCCAGAGCGATGTCCATAGGAACGTCCCCGTCACAGTTCACAGCAGAGAGGGACGCACCTCGCTGCAAAAGAAAACTGACAAAACAATCCTAGTTAGATCTACACACAACAAAAATAGTATTAATAGACAAACCTAAGCCTATCACATCTTTTAACAAAAGGCATTATTCACGTAATAAATGACTGTAGGAAAAAAAGTGAAACAATTGTTAAATTATCTGAGCAGTTTGTGTGCCAGGCCAGCCCACTCATGCTTTAGCTGACTTGTTTTCCTGCCAAACAGGGCAACAATGTTAGTATTGTTAAATGCACAAATGCTCTGGCACCCACGCTGCATTCTGACGTCCCTGAAGTACCAACGAGTACTGTATTATACAGCTGCTTCTGCTAACTAGAGAGATATACTACACACTCTGCAATGTCAGGGTAGCTGCAAGAGGCGGCAACATGCAGCGGTGTCCACCCTTCACTGTCAACCTGGTTCACGTCAGCACCGTGCTCCAAAAGGAAGGACACGATGTCCATGCTGCCATCTATGCAGGACTGTGAGGCAGAGAGGAAAATAAAGATAAATGTAAGCATTCATTCTCAGCATCACCAATATTTTTTATTAAACCTCTGTTAGAAAACAACTTACCTGGTGGAGTGCCGTGATTCCATCGGCATTGGAACAGTTGATAATTTCTAACACTTCCTCCCCGTTTGTAATTTTGGTTTCTTTGGCCTCCATCAGCATCACCTCGGCCTCCTCCGTGTCTCCGCTGGCACAGGCAGCCAGGAACTCTGCAGCCCTGTCAAACCTCACCCTTTTCCTAAAGACAGAGGAAACAGCTGGTCAGGTTGTTGAAGATTCAAAGATTTGAAGGCTTTATTGTCATGTGCACAATAGCTTGGTTTTGGCATGAAAAGAAAAATCAACAATGCAACATACAATAAACTATGAAAGTGCAAGAAGAAATAGAAATAAGAAGAGGTTTAAGTGTTTTACTGGGTCGAAGGACCCTTTTGAAATTGGAAGAATTGTTATTATTTGTATTATTATTTCTACAATGCATTGCAGATTTGAGGGTGCCACCTGGAACACAGCCCCTATATAACTTTATTTTAGGTATACTATAAATCCAACAGCCATTTTTTATTTTATATTAGCTGTATATAACAAACATGCCTTGTAGCACCAGTGTGTTTTATAAAGGGGAGAGACAAAATAATAAACACATTACAATAGACTTTTTTGACGAGTTAAAGGGATGGTTTGGGTTTATAAAGTGGGGTTGTATGAGGCACTAACTCACACACTTAGTCTATTACTTACAATAGATAGTGGTAGGTGTCTTAATGGGATTATTGACATTCAACAAAGTCACAAATTACCAAAAAACTAACTATTCATACACCAGCAACTCCTGCTTTATGCAAGCTAACATGACTGACTTTTATCAAATAAGTCTGGTAGCTCTGAAGAGAGCATTTATAATGGTTTTAATTTAAAAAGGGCTGTTTGACAGCAAGATAAATGGTGAACATATTCTGAATACGGCATACACTAAAACTGATATTGTTTTCTTTTGAGGGACTTTTTTAGGTGGCTAAAATCTGTCTTGCTGCTGCCCCTGTCCACAGCAGTACATTCTCTAAATATCTCTTTAAAAGAGGTTTCTTAACAGGATAAGGCTGGCAATGTTCTCTTGAATCTCATGAAAAGAGCCAACAATGCCATGTTCCATCTCTTACTATTTTCACAAATCCCTATCCTGTTTGTGTAACTCATCCCTAAGGACATTTGGTTCTAACTTCCTACTGAAAACTTACATTTTGAACAGTGTGTCATAAGGTAAAATGTCATTATTGAAAAAGGACAAGATGACTTTCTAAAGTAGCTGGGCACTTTTTGCAACCAAACTACTCAAACAGGATGAGAATGATTGAAAACTGTGGATTTGGGGTTCTCATGACTATTTAAGGCAGCAGGAAGGTATATGTGGAATCGACTTAAAATAAACTACAATGGAAATGTTACGAGTACTTAAGGAATATATCATCCAGGGCAACAGCGTGGCTCACTGATGTGTTTTAAATAGTTTTTGGGTGACAATGGAAGTCTATGTAAAGACACAAACAAGACCATGCCTTAAATACACAGGCAACACTTGGTGTATGATCAGTTAATGGGTAGTTAGGGTCTTTTTATTTTTTTGTGGTACTTGTTGACAAGAGAAAACACGGATTAACCCAATATTGAAACATTGTCTCTTTTAATCCATATCTTATTTGTTTTGTAACACAAATGTCCCTTTGAGTGTCTTTCAGTTAGTCTTAGCTACGGCAGTTGATGTCATCAGAAATGTGACTTTCATTACCTATTCATAATGTTGCACTAATCGAACAAATAATGTCAGTGAGGTATGTTTCAGCTTAAAAAGATATAGCCACTTTCCCACTGGTTATGGCTGTCCAGGGGTGTAAAGTAACTAAGTACAATTACTCAAGTACAATTTGGAGGTACTAGACTAGTACTTTACTTGAGTATATTTATTTTTGGCTACTTTGTAGTTCTACCCCACTCCAATTCAGAGATAAATAATGTAATTGTACTTAAGTACAATTACATTATTTATCTCTGAATTGGAATTGACTGGAATTGGAATTCTGAATGTACTTACTTGTTTATTTAATACATTCAGTTACTTCACGGAATTGGATTAATGATGTGAAATATAATCAAGTGTTAAATCAGACTTTAGTTCCACCTGGAGTAAATTCACAAGCTACCCTGCAGTATACAAAGTCATTCAAACTAGCTGCACCTTTACCAGTTTTGATAACACTTTAATGCATCAATAATTACATTCAAAACATTTACTACATATTATAATAAAATGGTCCAATCTTCATAATGAGTACTTTCCCTTTTGGTAATTTATGTATGTTTTGCTGATAACACTTTTGTACTTTTACCTAAGTAACATTTGCAATGCAGGAATTGTAATTGAAATAGAGTATTCCTACACTGCAGTATTTCTCCTTTTACTTAAGTACAAGAAACGAGCACTTCTTCCACCTCTGTGGCTTTCCCATAAACCATAATATGAGTGTGAACAGTGAGTTAGCAACACAGTGCTGGAAAATCAGACCCTCACCGGGACTGACTGTATGACACTTTGCTTGCACGCTAGCTAGCTGGCTAGCCAACCAACACAAACACTACAAACTATGGCCTCAAAAAAAGCCATTGACCACTGACAGTTTTATGAAAAACAGGACATTATTGTGTTATTTCAACCTAAAACGTTTTCCAGCAGCAGGTAGCCTAATATAATGTACATAAGCCATGTATGTTATGTTATTTTGTCTACCCCCTGTCCAAGCCCACGCACAAAATTCCTCCTTTAGCATATATTCAGATGTTGAGCTAAGCTAGCTGGCTGCTAGCTAGCTATTATTGTAAAGCTGTTTGGCAGGAGACATTTCCTCACCGTCTTTTGAACTGGGGACTGGTTTCATCTCTGCCTCCACACACTGGCGGCTCCCTTGGCGGCTGGCTGGGCTCGGCCTCCGGGTCCACTGCTCCGTGCCACCTTCGCCTTGGCACGTCCGACGCTTTGTTGGTGCAGGAGCTGGCCCAGCGCTTCAGCTGCTCCCGCCGCTTGCTCCTCGCCGAGTCCCCCATTATTTATCCGAGGAGGACTATGTTTTTAAAAATAAAACATTTGCTAACAGGGAACGACACACCCTCCATGTGTACACTTTCACTTCCTGGTTCTTGCTCTGGATGTGGAGGAAGGAAGCCTCGGCTCGTGCTCGTGGGGGTCGGGAGCGCGCAAAGCTGCTGATCAGGCCTGTATGTCTGACGTCACCACCTCTGTCCTGCAGTAGAGTAGACCCCAGAGGGGAAACCAACTGAAACAGCTCCGTGCCTTGGCACTGTGCACATACAGTTAGCACTGCACTTCCTGTTATTGTGCTTCTTGTGGGATTGTGGTCACTTGTAGATTACAATAATATCCAAACTAAAGGAAAGAGAGCAACCAAAACAAACTGATAACAAGGCAAGGCAAAGCAAGTTCATTTATATAGCACATTTCAGTAACACTTATTTTCAAAGTGCTCTAAACAAAAGATCAGATGCATCAAGACAATGCCCAGAGAAACACACTAAAGGACATTGAATAAAGAGCAAAGCAAACATATCTCTTAACACTGGCATATCCACCCTGATCACATGACACATCCTCTGTTCCTATTGATTATATTGTCTTGTTATATAAATAAAATGCATTATTATTGTTGTTATTAAAGCCAATACTCAATTAAATCAAGCTATAACATTTAGAAAAAGATAAGAAATGTATTTTAGTCTTTCATTGGTCTTTATCCCACATACTTTGTTAAAAACAATTATTCGGCAGACATGAAGCCAGTGTATTGAACTCAAAACTGGACTGATGTGATCCACTTTCTTGGTCTTACCGAGGAATCAAGCAGCATTGTTTTTTAATCAGCTGCAATTATCTTATTGACTTTTAGGCAGAATTGCAAAGAGGCTGCTACAGTATTGGAGTCTAGTATAGATGCTTGAACCCATGTTTCTAAATCCTGCTGAGACAGGGCTAACAAGGCCATAGAAGCCACTACCTACATGTAACCTTTATAAAGGGTGCCATACTAAAAAGTGAGACTTAAGAATAAGTCATCTGACTGTCTGATGGGAAGCAGAGGATATTGAGCAAGCATGTACAGAAGTTGCTCCTGCTTCCCCATATGGAGACAAAGAAGCCAGTTGATTGAGATGACAGTAAGCAGCACATAATGTTTCCCATTCAGTTTAAATGGTAAAATATGCCTTATGGCAGATAAGTGAAGTCCTCCCACTTTTTGGGAATGTCTCCATTTACAACTGCTCCTCCTGATCCATGCAGTGGCTGCTAGCCTGAGGGAGAGATAACCCGTGCTAATAACAAGTGTTTCAAATAATGCAGTGTGTCATAGAGTTGTGGCCCTTACTTAAAGGTAGGGTATGTAATGTATTTCAGAAACACTTTTTGTTATATTCCATGGAATGCTCTTAACATCCCGATAGCAATGAATATATTAAATGCTTTGACAATAAATACATAAAAAAAGTCATTTGTGGAAGCCGTAGCGCTGTAAAAAGCATGACCAATCATTTTAGCCGGCCCGGCTAAAATAACTGGATGGCCCTGTCAGCCTTCCATCTCGTGCACAAACTTATCTCGTGCCCTCATTGGTCATGTGCGCGTTCGTGTGTTGGAGGAGGGGCTCTGTAAGGAAGTCTGAAGGAAGAAGCAGATTTTTTCCGGTTGTGTACTTTCAAATTCTAGCGCACTCGAGCTGCTTTCTCCAAAATTACATACCCCACCTTTAACATATTGAGTAACAAGTTTACCACAAATCCTTGCACAATGGTACCAAATGACAAGCTTCTGAATTTACAAGAAAACGGTCAACAAAATAGACCAGCTAGCATTGAAGAAATGGAGGTAGAACATATGTTAGCAAGGCCATATAAAACAATGTCAGGCACCCTTAACCATACACATGACAGGTGAAAAAAGGGGAAGCAAAACAAAATGGCAGCAAATCCCTACATGGCTTCCTTAAAGTTACCAGGGCTGCTCTATTTAAACAATACATGCACAAAGTCTCACCAATAACAAACCCAACAGCAGCACCAGCCTAACAAACAGCTGAGTGGCAGGACACAGTAATTTCTTGATATGGCTAGCGATCAATGTTGGACCTATAGAATGCTGAGATAGCTTGTAAACATTCCAACATCGGTTAGGGTCAAATTCCATGTCACATTTCCCTGTGGCTCTGTGTGACCAGCTGAACAACTCGACAGCCTGTGACCAACAGAGAAAGCAGAGCCATTGCAAGAAGTAAGTAAATGTCTCGTTTTTATTGTTTCATTTTCTATTAATGTTCTCATTTTGGACCAGATATTTACATCTGGAATATTTTTAGATTGAATAGTTGTAGATTAGGATGCAGAACTGACTTCCTTAGTGGAAGCAGACGTTTAAACATTTCTTTACTGCAGCTTACAGAAGGATTGATGAAAGTAAAGCATATACATTAGGAATAATATGTTTACAGTAGAAATGAATCACGGAGTAACACAAAAAAAACATAAAGTGTTGTAGTTGTGTGTTTTGGACCACCTTATTGATTCTCCAAGTGTCTTAAACTCAAATGAGCGAAGAGCCGCATTCCTCTGGTGTTCTTTTTGTTTTTTTTGGTGTGGGGCCAGAGAGTGCCTTTATTAGAGATGCAGATTTGAAAGGGGGAGATAGAGGGGATGACATTGCCTGAAATCTTCCACGGGATTGGTCGAACCTGTTAACTAACCACTGAGCTATACCATGGCCCCTCGTTTGGTGTTGTAATGACGGTGGACAGGTATAAATCACAAGTTTGATTAAAAATATAAAATATATGCCACTATCACAAAGACTGCCACGCTATGATTTCATGTAGTATTTAATTCAGAGGCCTGTGGTCAAATAGGAAACAATATCACATGATTAGACAATTGTATTACTAGGCACTGATGGAAGGAGATGATCATTAACTGTTGCCTATCTTTGCTCTAAAATCTCTCATGGGTGCTCACTGGAGTTTACTGGGGACTGTGAAGGCCATAGCATCATTTTGATATTGATCAAACCATTTAATGAGCCCTAGCCCTTTTAGCCACGTATGCAAGCATCTGCATTTGTTATGTCTCCCACTTCACGTAGGTTTTTACTTAGAGGGTTCCTATTATGCATTTGAGGGTTTCCCTTTCCTGTAGTGTGTTATATAGGTTTTCTGTGCATGTAAATGGTCAGCAAAGGCTAACATCCTAAAGTGAGAGTTGATCTCCCACACACTCCCCCCCAGCCTGAAACGCCTCCATTGGACTCCTGTGTTTAATTCCATAACATAGTGACATTACTATTTAACACTCACACTTCTGGCTAGCGGTCCAACAAATTGTACGTGATAGGCTAAGGGGCAGGACATTTCCGACAAATCGGTTGACCAATTACAAAGGAGCTGCCCAGCTAACCAATCAGAGCAGACTGGGCTCTGGTTTCAGAAAAATAAAGAGCTTTTTAAACAACAACAAAATAGGAATTTGGTGGGGGGGGTGCTTAGAAACTGATATGTTGAATGTACTCTCGACGTGTAGATGTTGTTCTCTTTTTGTTGCTTTTGTCAGTAATTGTGAGACAAGAAAGCACGTTGAGAGTTGTTTCACTTCATTATCGGACTTCAGTTTTCTGTCACCAAGTTTCGTTATTAGTTATAATAAATAGTTATTTTCCACAGAATGACCATGCCCTCACACAAAGCAGCACACTGCATCCCGCCTCACACCCTGACCCGGCTGGCACGAGAATGGCTGGCAGAGGACACACCTAACTTTGACCCAGCGGGAGCTTGTGTGGGGTCACAGGAGGTGGAGGCCAGGCTGCTGTGTAAGACCCCGCACAGCGTCCTGGCAGGGAGCCCCTTCTTCACAGCAGTGTTCACGGAGGTCGGCTGCACCGTGGACTGGGTTTACCAGGAGGGAGAGGAGATTGGTAGGCATTACACAGTGTCTTCCAAAGCACCAATATATTAGAATAGATGTAATAGATGCAAAGTCTCCAATAACAAAAGACGCACCAGTAACGGCTCACTACAGACCATTATTACGGCTCACTACAGACCATGTCCTAAGCCTATCACGGAAACAAAAAGTAGGGCCTCTCTTATATCTTATTTATACACCACTGTATTTATATTATGTATTTTAATATATTGCTTATAGTACAATGTGCACACTTTTACTTTAACTTCTTAATTGTAGAAAAAACATTTTATATTATAGAATTTGTCTTTCTTTTATTGTATGTTTTATTTTAGTATAATTATTTCATTTAATGTTTTTCTGGCACATCTCATTTCCTATATAAGTATTTATATTCACATGTTTTCTTTCTTTCTTTAATTCTAAAATAGGGCAACCGTCCCAAAAACAATTCCACCCGGATAGATAAAGAGTTCTATTTTTGATTCTGATAAAAATCTTATGAAGTTACGGATTGCATTTTAAAGGCCTTTTTAAGAAGGAGCATTGCAAATAGGCTATACATGCTGTGGTGTGTTGCATCGGTTTAAGCAACAAACTCTCTAAAACAATATGCACTGTCAACCCTCCATGACTCTACCCCCATGCAGGCCCAGGTGCCATCACGCTGACTGCCGTTGTGAAAGGCCCAGCCAGGTGCCTCCTCTTGGGGGAGCGGTCTGCTCTGAACTGCCTGGCCCGGGCCTCTGGGATCGCCACACGCTGCTCTCAGCTCCAGGCAGCAGCAGCAGAGAGAGGCTGGCATGGAGAAGTGGCTGGCACACGCAAGACCACCCCGGGCTTCCGTCTGGTGGAAAAGTACGCCATGCTGGTTGGCAGTGTGTCCATGCACAGACAGGACCTGAGTGGAATGGTGATGCTGAAGGACAACCATGTGTGGGCATCAGGAAGTATCACACAGGTGGGCAGCTGCACCACAGATACAGTTATCACTCTGAGACTGTATGTTCCTACAGATCATTACAAAATATCCACCACAAAATATTAAGCTGTTGAAGAAAAAGCTACATTTCCTTGCAATGGTATCACTTAAGGCCAGTGGTGGAAGAAGTACTCAGAGATTTTATATAAGTAAAAGTAGCTATACTACAGTATAAAAATACTCTGTTACAAGTAAAAGTCCTTTAATCAAACGTATACTCAAGAAAAGTACAAAAGTATTGGCATCAAAATATACTTAAAGATGTTCTTATACATTCCAACACTTGCTTGAGGCAACGCAAAATCAGGCCAGGGTTAAGTGGTGGGTGACAACCTTCCCTACTTAGTTCCCCACTTCTTCCGGCAAAGCTACTCAGACCAGAAATCTTTCAACTCAGACTTCATTTTGACAAATCTATAATGTTTCATTGTCCCATCTTGCACGGTTATCACACTGACAACATCTGACCACAGACAGCTTCACCGTAAATACACAAAGAACCGAAGACACAAACACCTCCTCGTGGTAGTTCCCTCTACAGCAGGTGTCTCCAGGAACACATTTTGGCAAGATGACACGCACATACATATTCACAAGCTGGCAACAATCCCTATGTAGCTGATGTGGCTGACATTTCTTATTTTTATATATATAAATACCATTCTTTATGTATCTAGTTGAATTGATGTAGTTACAGTTCCTAACGTTTTGAAGAGGCCCTAATATGCTTTTTAGGGGTTTTCCCTTTCCTGTAGTGTCATATACTGCAGGTTTGTGTGCAATGCAAATGGTCTGCAAAGGCTAAAATCCCTGAGTTTCTCTCCCACACACGTTGTTTTTGTTTAAAGGAACAAATACTGTTGTAAGACTTTCATTAATGTACTAAAAAACACAAGGTGAAAAGGGCACAGTAGTCTTCCTCTTTCCAGTGTGTTTCTGTTTAATCGCTGTCTTGTGGGTAATGTGTTGCAATCAGGTCTTTCTTAGGACGTTTGGTTTCTGTAAATGTTCAAAGTGAAAAGGGGACCTTATGCAGCTATATTTTTGTAAATTCAAAGATTCTGTTTAGAGAAAAACATGTTTAAATACCCATCCAGATGAGCTTGTTTATCTTAACTCTAAATATGGAAAGTTGTTTTGCCATGTGCAAATTCTCATCGCACATACAAAATAATTGAAAAGATGAGCTTGTTCTAAACAAAGTTAACATGTGATATTACAGAGCGTCAGTACTGGCGCTACAGGAAAATAAAAAATAATTTAAGAGCAGTGAGTAAACCTTTCAGAGTCTGAGCACACCCAATATCATTCTCCAAAGTATATTATTGTCTTTATTAGGACCAATAGTATTTCAATAGCCTGTACACTTAATAATTGTATCATTGAAATAACTAATAATCTTAATTTGATCATAGTCCTTGTGGTTTTCTTGAATTTAAAAGCGTATCTATTATTTGTTGGACAAACCATCCAGGACGTACAATGGTTTGGCTTATTCGAAGGAAATATATCTGCATTTTTCTTGTTCTTAATAGTTTATTTCACTTATTGTAAGTTGCTTTAGATAGAAACGCCACCTAAATGAAATGTAATCAGTGTTGGGAGGGTAACTTTGAAAAATGTATTCCAATACAATTACCAGTATAACAAATTATTAGTAACCTAATCTGAGTCTCACATAATGTAACCTGATTACTTCCTGAAACTTTTTGGATTACCTCAATATCAAATGCAAAGCAATTATATACAAGAGAAAAGAAACGTCAACAAGCTGTTTTTAACTTCAGTGTATGATGGAAGATAACAGAACAATGTAACCTTAGAAAATAACAAATAAAGACCTTTTTAAACATTATAGCATGTTAACATGTCACAGTAGAGGCACAAAATACACAAATGAACCTGAGAATGAGCATAAATTAATGAATCAGGTATCCACCTACTGCGTTTAGAAAATATATATTTGAGAAAAATAAGTTCAAGTATGAAATCCATAAAGACATTGCAGGCAGTAGGTCTACCTATAATATAACAATCTTTATTTTATATGTATTGTAACATTGTAATCCTTCTAGTGAGCCCTACTGTTTTTTAAATGTACCAGTAATCTGATTACGCCTCTTTTTAATGTAATTGTATGGGAACACTCCCTCAGCCTGAATCTAATGTAAGGTTATCTTGGATAAAGTGTCAACCACATGTAGAACTGTAAAATGTCCCAAAATGCAATGGCTATTGCGAAATTGGAACAAGAATAAGAGGAAATGTGTCCGTTTATGGCTTCCTGCATGAGGCCCAATGACACCGGTGACACGAGTCGTGAAGTTGGGTATGCTCACAAGACGTTCAACACAACAGATGTGTGTGTGCAGGCTGTGAGAGAGGCCCGCTCAGTGTGTGGCTTCAGCTCTAAGGTGGAAGTGGAGTGCCAATCGGCAGAGGAGGGCCGAGAGGCGGCCGCAGCAGGAGCAGACATCGTGATGCTGGACAACTTTCAACCTCAGGTGAAGAATTCTAAACTCACACAAGCCTTTGTCACTTTGCATTTTCATTGCCTGGTTTCCACTCACTCTGCCACTTCATTCCACCCCCCTTCTCCTCCCTCTTTCTCCTCATAGGAGCTCCATGTTGCAGCTCATGTTCTGAAGGAGGAGTTCCCAGCCCTGCTGATCGAGGCGAGTGGAGGAGTGACTCCAGAGAACTTAGCTATGTATTTCTCCCCACACGTGGACATCATTTCTCTGGGCTGCATAACACAGGGCTGCCCAGTTGTGGATTTTTCTCTCAAGGTTCAAAAGCCTGCTACACCCCCAAGCAAGACAACAAGTGTGATGTACAAACAGTCCCACGATGATTCAATTAGAAAATGTGAACGGAGACTTTTTTAACATGTTCATTTATTTCCTTTCACACCTGCAATATCAGTGGTTTACTGTTGCTGAAACTTTAGAAGTAACTGACATCCTGTTTGCTCACTGTGTCCTCAGTCATTTGATAAGCATCAAAGCTTCTTTGCAGCACGATGACTAGGGTTTGTTTTATTGATGAGCAGAGATCTTGCAGACATACCGAATAAAAGGGTATTTAAGGTCAATTGATCTGTATTATTATAATGTACCTATAATATGGAAACAGAAAATGCTACAGCAACTTTTCTTTTGCAGAAGAAATAATGCCCTCATTATTATTTTCCTGATTTTGTTAACACAGTACATTTATTTAAAAAGGTGAGGCTTATATATTTTTTTAAACGAGTTATTTCTTTATCAACGGATTACATGTTGCCAAATGATCCACTGAAATAAATAATATTTTGTAATATTTGTAATATTAGTTACTAAGGTTTCAAAGTAAAAACAAAAAAGAGAACTTATAAACAGGATAAGAACTAACTGATTAAATAGTGCAGAGGCAAATCTGATTGAAAGAGTATTTCTTTCTTATTCTTATACTGGCGCATGGCTTATTCTTACCATTCAAATGAACCATTCCTATTTTACAAGATGTTTGAGATTTTCAAGAATCAGAGCACACAGTTCTCGCAGCTCTCTCCAAAATGTATTGAGCCAGATGTGTTTACTCAAGTGTCCAATGACTTCTAACATTAAAGATCCTGTTGTGAATCAGTGTTTTTCAATGAACCCCTCTATCTTTATTCTGGGGTACCTTTTTTCTGAAAAGCGCAAACAATTATTTGCAAAAACGATGGCTTTAGGAATGACTAAAGAAAGAGGAAGCACAAGGGAATAGAAACATTTAGCTTAGAATATTGCTGTTAGAGCAGAAGTGTCACAACCACCTGCTACGGAAACGCCCTCCTTCAAGAAACACACAGGAAGTATGATCACATGTCTCAGGAAACACCAGCAGCACACAGCAGACAGAGGGGGAAGGATGCATGGGCGACGTCGCATCTTCCTCACCTTCATGGTGGCTGCTGGTAAGATCTCAAATGTTGCTTTTTATTAAAGAGACTGTATTAATTCAGAAAAGGACAGATAAGGTTTCCTTTCTGTGTGGGGAAAAAACAGAAGTTTATTGTGAGACTAAAAACCTTGAGAATGTTGCTTGATCTTCTTATTTTGGGAGAAGAAACAAGTATTGCAATTCTTTTTAAATTATTTTACTTCATTATTAATTAGTATTATTGAATGTTAACTATACAGATGTATTTGATTACATTTTATTTATCATAATATCATTTTCTCAGATTCTATCCTCAGTTTGATGTACGGAAACAGTGCTGAGTGCAAAAGCACAAAAAACTCTCACGGTTTGACCACAAACTCATGCCAGCTGCAATTCAAATCTTTCACTGCAGCTTCAGGCCTTACAGCTTCAAGATTAGACATTTGCATGTATGTATGTATTACCCATAGAAACATTGACTATTAAAGAAATGCATTTCTCAGCACTGGTTATTTCTCTTAGCTGTATGGGCGGGAGTTGGATATTTCAAAACTTTATTTTTATATCACCGATAACTTATTTGGCAACTATTTTTATTGAGATTCATGATATTTTTGTATCTCTTAATTTCCCTTCTAAGATTGTATCATATCTTATTATATGTTATAACACCTCTACTAATATGGTATCTTTTTTTCTTTTTACAAATTGCAGCCACCTATGTTTCTTTGGCTTTCAACATTGACATGACAAAACCTGTTGTCTATGTTGGGGAACAAAAGGATTTCTTTGGATATAAAGTACTTCAATATTCGTCCGGCACAAACAAAGGGTAAGTTTGCATTTGCTTGGTGGTTCTGTTGGTATTTAGTGTTGCGATAGATGTCAAATAACTGATAAGTTAAATTGCTCAATACTTGAGCGTGGTTTCCTTTTGCATAGAACTTAAAGATAATTCTGGTTTATCAATAAGGAGCTTCTGAGAAAAGCTCTTGTGGTTTAACACTGTGAACTGTGAATTACATTGCAGCCTAGGACTTATCTTCCTGTTGCATTACAAAAGATACGTCTAACGCCCTGCTTGCAACTGCAGGGCGTAGCATTGTTTCGCTTTAGTTCAAACTGTGCTAATGATGTCAGCCTGGTCCCTAAAATGGTACCACATCCACAGGATAATCGCTACAGCACCGCTGCAGCAAAACGGATCTGGAGCAATATGCAAATCCCTCCAAAACCAAACTTTTAGGTGCACCAACCCTCAAGGTATTTATTTCAATATTACACATTAAATCACACCAAAAACAAAGAAATATTAAATGTTAAAAGTAAACATAATAGCTGATAAATGTTATGTGTCTTAAAAAGAAAACTGAATTAAATGCTACTGTTTGCAGATATTTCTCTAACAAACACATCCGTCAAACACCTTGGCCTCTCGTTAGCGAAAGACTCCAAACGATCCCAATTCACAGTAAGAAAATCAGTTTATTGCGCAATAAAAAATCAATATGATGAATATGAAATTGATTTGACTTCATGTGCTAGGTCTGCAGTCCAAGTGTAGTCCATGAGTGTTATGAGAACTCCTATATGAACAGCGTGTGCTTCAACATCACAGATAATCTTCAGCAAACCTCCTCTTTCACATCTGCTTTCCAAGGTAAAATCATTAGAAAGGAAACTTCTCCAACTCTTCAAGTAAAAAAATATTCTCATAACTTTTTTCCTAAATGAATGTTCTTTCAATGTTAACATTGCGTATTTTTTTCAGACTGCACAAAAAAGACAGTGGATCTTGTCTTTCTGTTTGATGGATCCGGGAGTATGACCGAAGCAGAATTCAACAAAAATAAAGATTTCATAGTGGATATAATAAACAGCCTTAAGAACTCATCGATCAAGGTTCGCTGTGCTACAGCTACATTAGGGCGTTCATGGCATTTATTTGTGAAATTTCCCAGACATAATGTTGAATAACGTATGATCTTGTCTGCTTATTTTCAGTTTGCGGCGGTTCAGTTCTCCTTTACTAACAGCAAAGTTTTTGACTTCAATGACTACCAAGCTGGTAGTTATCTGGACAAACTCAGGAAAGAACTCCATATGAGAAAACTCACCAACACACACAGCGCTCTGACATATGTGCTGTAAGTTCAGTAACATTACAAAAGCCGTTCTCCAACTCTAAACACATTAAATAACAGCTTTTGTTGCATGGCACTCAATACTTTCACAGTACAGCTGTAACATTATGAAAGTTTTATTTTTTGAAGTAATTAATCGTAGTTTAGAAGACTTTTCTTTTTTTAAAGGATAGTTTCACATTTGTTTCAGGAACAACATTTTGAAAAACCCAAAAGCAGGCGCCTCTCCTGATGCAACTAAAGTGGTGGTACTAATAACGGATGGAGATCCCAGTGATAGAGACAGAGGGATTATTAAAAGATATGATGATCAAAACATCATTCGCTTTGTCATTGGGGTAAGTTATGATGTTCTAAACATGTCTCATCATTTTGTCTGTCTGAGAAATGTATATATTTATCTAAAACAGCAACACCAGGGATCATTTTCTTCGAATGGAAAGTTCATCACTATGCAGATGATACACACTACTACTTCTCAGAAGAAAACTATAGTTTAAACATGTTTTCACTAGTGCTGTCAATCAATTAGAAAATGTCATGTTAATCATAAATATATTCTGTGATTGATTATAACTCAGAAGTTTAAAATACTAGTATTCCCCTGTAGTTCTGGAGGAGATAAAGCAAATACACGTGTGGTGTTGTAATAAAGAAATACAAATCAGAGAGTTTTTTACTTTATTATAACATGATTTCTGAATTATTGGCATCAAGTCTGAACATTTTCTAACACTTAGCTAAGCATCGACAAAGCTGCCGTCACAGAGAGCCGTTGTGATTCCCCTCTGTAAAATGTCCACTACACAGGGCATATGCTCTTATGTTAGTATTTGTATTTTGATTCCCCTTTCTACAATGTGTGCTACACATTATGCTTGTCTGGTAGTATTCTTGGTGCTGCTACAGTATACTGTCAGAACCATGTATTCCTACATTCCTAGATTTTGTCTAGTGAAACCTGGACTGATTCAAGTTTTGAATTCAAGATTGTACAACTTTGTGTCTCTGGAGGAATTCTTAATTTCAAGCTTTGGTTTCAGGTCAAAAACGCTGACCTGGAGAAATTCAGAGCCATTGCTTCAGAACCGAAAGACAAAAATGCCTTCAAAATTGAGAACTATGACGGACTCAAAGGAGTACTGGAAAACTTTCAAAAAAAGATCTTTCAAATGGAAGGTGAGTTTCAATTGTGTTTTTTTCTTACTTTTGTACAATATTGTTTTTACAATGAAGAGCTAATGTATTTTATGTTTAGGCTCCAAAGTGTCTCGGGCTGGAGAATTGACCAATGAAATGTCTCAGAGTGGATTCAGTGCTGTCTTCTTCAACGTGAGTCAAGTCAAAAAGACAAAATCTAGATGCAATTTAAAAATCTACATCTTTTATCCAAGCTAAAGTCAACCATCACAGTGCTAGCTAACCATTCATTTATAGGTCAACATAAGACGTTTAGATCAATAATTAGATCAAGCTCATAAAACTAAAACTAAAATAAATTACTGCCATGGCCCTGAAGGTCAAAACACAAAATGAAAAGAAACAATGACATTTTACAAAATACAACATTTCAAAACATTTAATTACAGCATAAATTAGTTTTTTGATCTTCAATCCATTTATTTTCTTTTAACAAAAAACATGTTCACGTGAATGTAAATTTAAAAGTATTACACATTGATTTTGTGTAAAAGAAAAAAGTGTAACCACCACTCCTTAATGGAAGTAATCGTGCAGAATAAGCCTCCATAGCACTCCTTTGTTTAGTTCCTTCACAAAGTGACATCACTATCTTAGACTTCTATTGGATAGTGCTCCAACTCATCGTATGTGATTTGCTTAAGGCCTGGACATTTCCACCACATCTCTAAGCAGTTGACCAATCACAACAGAGTCTGCCAGCTAACCAATCAGAGCAGACTGGGCTCTGGTTTCAGACAGAGAGTGAAAAGAGGTGCTGCAGCACAGGCAGTATGAGAAAAATAAAGAGCTTTTTGAACATTAGAGCATGGAGACATGTCCCAGTAGAAACACTACATACTGATGTGAAGTTGAAAACATAATTCGCCTCTTTGACAACCTAATCCTGCTTTTATGATATCTTTGATGTTTGGACCAACCAGCCACAGTCAAAACAGTCTTCCTGCCGCAATTGATCTGTCTACTTCCAACATACCTAGTGTTGGTAACTCTACTCCTCTCTGAGCTGCACATTTCTGTCAACAGGATACCCTGATTCTGGGTTCAGTGGGATCAAACAGCTGGCGTGGTTCTCTCCAAGATCGCCGTGGAGAGATAGAAACACAAATTGAAGATCCACACATGCTGGATGACTCCTACCTGGGTACTGAACATAAAGCTGTTTCTTTCTTTGCAGATGATACATCACTCTAAGGAGATATTGTTTTATATTGGCTTAAGATGTTGATGTTCAGGTTTCTTTGTATCTAATGCTTGGAAAAACCATTTGCCTCAGTAAATGATTCCTATCAGTTTCCAATCTGCCATATGGGTGATAATGGTCTTTGTATATAAAATGAAATGGAAAAGACACAAAAGCAGTGGGATTCTGAAAAAGGAAATTATTTTAGAAACACCCTCCTATTAAACCTCTTACATACGATAATAACCTTTTCAATGTGAATGAACTTTTAGCAGATAATGTCATAATGTGACTGGCTTTGTTGCAGGATACTCTATTTCTGTTGGAAAGAAGAATAATGCTCCAATTTATTTCGCCGGGGCACCAAGATTTAATCACAAAGGACAGGTCGTACTTTTCAGACATGAAGGCAAAAACTGGACGGCATCCCAAAGAGTTAACGGGGAACAGGTTGGTATATGTCTTGAGTTTAGTTTGAAATAAAATCTGATTCATCATACATATTCCAGACAAAAAAATGTAAACCTCAATCTACTACCATTGCCTTTTTGTCATTCCATCATTCATTCATTCACATGAACCGACTTTAAACTTGAACATGGGAACCTGTGAAAGAGGCAGGTCTATATTTGAACTTTGAGACAACTTTGCTCAGTAAACCTAAAAAACCCTCACATTTACATCTTCTCTAAAAAGACTACATGTTTTATTTTTGCACTGTTACTCAGAAAAAGTCATTAACATGCTTCTTGGAACAGGCTGCTGGGCCCTTATTGTGTCATGCAGATGTATTTGATTAAATGTATTTAGTGGTGCATGTTGCACCTTTATGGTGAGGAGCATCTTTCTGCGGTTGCAGAGAGGAAACCAGAGCACTTCCTTGCAGTGGCACTTAGCACTTTACTTGAAGAAAAACGGTGAGAAAATGATGTCTGTTCAAAGTATAATAAATGTCTTTATCCCAACTTCACTTTTCAGATTGGCTCCTACTTTGGCGCAGAGCTGTGCTCAGTAGACACAGACTCAGACGGTAACACTGATTTCCTGCTGGTGGGAGCTCCACAGTTTTACCAGCCTCAGGAGAAGAGGGAAGGTCAGATCTACATCTACACACTGACTGATGAGGTGGGCTGTGTGACAAAGATTCAGAATCCAAGTTTGAGTTTCAATCAAGCAAAACAATGCTTTTATTATCTGAATAAGTGAACGTTTCCATTTCCCACAGATGCAACTGAAAGGTGAACTGACTGTGACTGCACCCTCCATGGGGAGATTTGGCACCACCATATCCAGCCTTGCCGATCTGAATGGAGATGGACTGCGAGATGTTGCTGTTGGAGCTCCTCTTGAGGACAATAACAGCGGGGTTGTGTACATCTATCTTGGCGACAGAATCAGAGGGATACGGAGCGATTACAGCCAGGTGAGACAGAGAAAACCTGACAAATGATATGTTTTTCTCAGGGTTGAAAAGATGAATTCATCATGAACTGGTCTCTCTCCCTTATTTCCATTGTATAACTCTATCTAAGTTCCAAAATGATGATTGATACATTTTAGATTGAAATGGCTTTGTTGAAGATTTTGAAGTTTACTTTTAAAAACCTTTATCTGCCAACCCTGGGCATCTACCCAAACTACTTAACATGAATCATCCTCTCGAATATGCACATTAAGAATGTGCAAACCATGTACCATTTTAATTGTTCAATTTCTATTATTCCAGAGAATCATTGGTCATAAAATAGATCTCCGGCTGAGATTCTTTGGACAGTCCATTGATGGGGACATTGACCTTGGAGAGGATGGACTCCCAGATATTGTGGTGGGATCACAGGGCATAGCTGTTGTGTTAAGGTAGGGCTATTGTATGTGGTTGAAGGAATTGTGGATGTGGTTAAGAGCAATTGCTATCTCATCAACTCAAGAATATGTCTCAATGCTGAATGAAAGATCTATCTATCTATCTATCTATCTAGCACCTCTTTTCACCCTCTGTCTGAAACCAGAGCCCAGTCTGCTCTGATTGGTTAGCTGGCCGGCTCTGCTGTAATTGGTCAACCGCTCAGAGATTTATGCCCCTAGCCTATCACGTCCACTGTGTTGGAGCGCTAGCCAATAGAAGCTGTAGTGTTAGGTAGTGATGTCACTATGTTGCAGAAGGAAAAAACCCCAAAACATAATAGGGCCCCTTGATTGATTGATTGGAAAGATGCCCCTAAAGAAAAGTGTAAAATATGAACTTTAGCAGTGGTGAATTTAAGATACCGTTAAATTAAATCAAAGTAATGACATTTTTCAGGATCAATAGTCCAACTGTATATCTTTATCCGACAAATGTAATAATCTAAGCATTATAATGACTGTAACAAATATAACACTCTACTTTGATTTTATGTTCCTGAAATATTAAACATATGCTTCCTTTAGTTGGACAAAAAATGTGTCGACAATGAATTTAGATGTTTTTCTGATCTTGGTTAAAGTGCATCGCAACCCCCTTGAAAAATGTCTCTAACCTAAGCTAACAACATAAAAATTAACATCATAGTGAAATCCCTCAGAAAATAACAAGAGGACATTTGTTCTTAAATCACTTTTAGCATGTACATACTGTTAGGATTGCTTTAGCCCTGAGAGCAGGATAAACTGAAAAGAGTCCAGGGAAGCTTATAAAAGTTAACAGCATTTAATTAAACAAATGATACGATGATACAAAATGAAATGTGCGAGTGGAGGCGCTCTCCCCATTCAGCTGTTGCCTGTCGCGTTGGGTCAGCTGGGGTGAAGGAAGAGATCGATTCTTCCTGTCCATCACAAGTTATCAACTGTAGTCTTCTTCTATTGGCCGGCGTCGACGGGGGCGTGTCCATTGCAAATCCTGCCGTTTTCTGTTGCTAAATTACATAATTCTAATGTCTGTGGTTATTTAAACATTCCCTAATAAACGTTTTGCAGCGTCAATAAATGAGTGTTAAAAACAGTGTGTTTAGGGTACAACATCACATGTCATTTCACCTTCAATTCACGGTTTCAAAACGTAGCATTCGCCACATGCGAATGCTAACCGGAAATGACGAGATTTACTTAGCAGAAAACCGGAAGTCATGTGTGAACATTCGGTTTTTAGAATAAAACAGATTTAAATTAAATACAGTGTATTTAATTATGAAATTGGATGTACCCTGAATAATCGCCATACAAAAAAAGGAATGACAGACCATCAAGCGGAGTTTTTAACCAGTCTGGTATAAGGACACTTATTGATGTCTGAGTGAGGAGAGAACTGTCAATCACCTCCTATAAAACTTACACAAATCATGGGACTGGTGTCTTGTTTACACATCCTTCATACATGTGTACACAATTATACCATAGGAATCATTCTAGTGCAAAGTCTGTTAACCAATATGTTTTTTGTTTTTTATGAATGTCTTTCAGGTCCAGGCCTGTCTTTAATGTCATGGCTTCTCTGTATTTTCAACCTAAAGAGATAAACACAGACAAAATTGAGTGCCTTGGCAACACAGATGCAAATTTACCAATGGTAACCCTAACAGCCTGCTTTGAAATGGTAGAAACAACAAGAAGTAAAGCAGGTAAGACCTAACCAAATAATGTGATTTAATAACATGTTCTTATATTTCACAACATATTAACGTTATTTCAATCCCTCTGTTTGCCGTTGCAGAGGAATTGAGCTCCACGTTGAACATCTCGTACTCGATCGACGTGGATCCCACGAGAACTACTATGTATCGAGGTTTCTTCAGTGAAACCGACCGGAAAGCTAGAAATCTCACCTCTACCCCCGAGCTGAGGGATAAAGACACCTGCTTCAACCACTCCATCTACATGCAGGTATAGAGAATAAGTAAGGCCAGATGTGCAGTGAGGCAATCATCAATAAAATAAGGACACCGACAGATGTTGACTCACCCTGGTGTTCTTTCCTCATTAATGACCGCCTTGCTGCACATTAAGCAGCTAATTAGATGGCTACATACTAAATAAACCATCTCAGAATATCAGATTGGTGTTATTGATTTAAAAGCTATCATATTGCTTCTGCTAAGAAAATTATTATTCAATCTAATTTGTAGCATTTGCTGAACTGCGGCTACAGCAACGTAATTTAAAATGACGGCAGCACTGACTATAGGGTGTTCTGTAACTGTCCAAGTCTGTTCACATTTTCCATTAAACAGTCTTTAAACACTGCCAGAGCCCATACCGTGTTCCCTTTAGTGTTTACTACATGTCTGTCTTGTTCTGCTGTTCCCTTTAGTGTTTACTACCTGTCTGTCTTGTTCTGCTGTTCCCTTTGGTGTTTACTACATGTCTGTCTTGTTCTGCTGTTCCCTTTAGTGTTTACTACCTGTCTGTCTTGTTCTGCTGTTCCCTTTAGTGTTTACTACCTGTCTGTCTTGTTCTGCTGTTCCCTTTGGTGTTTACTACCTGTCGGCCTTCTATTGATTTCTCTGAAGACCTCTTAATGCCAGTCCTTCAAAATGGTCTATAATGGATGACTTGTGATGATTTCACTTTAATCAAAATCTGCTTATATTAAACAATTGTAAAAACTGAAATCCTTTCCGAGCCAGCTGTATCATACACTTAGTTTGTTAAACTATAATCGCAAGTTATTTTTATAAACGTATTTGTCTGCACTTCAACAATATACAGATGACTCTTGTCTTTTTCTTGCAGAAATGTGTGAAAGACACACTAATGCCCATCAGCATCAAATTACAGTTTTCCCAAGTTGACAGTGTGAGCGCGAGCGCCGTCCTGAATGTGGACAGCAAAACGCAGGCTACTGTTGAGGTATGTATGGATTCAGCTTTTCTGTGTGCATTGATTTGTCGAACTCAGTTGCCAGTACATTTGCGAATATAATATAGAAAAGGATAACTTTTGTTACAAAAGATCTGAATGAGCTAAAAAAAGTGAAGTTTTTTTCCAGATTAGTAGGGTGGCCGAAAGGTGCAAATGCGCTACAATGGCCCAAAAAATGTCCATTAGGAGAAACGCTTTGTTAAAATCTCCCTTAAACTAAAACATAAAGGTTGAGTTTGTGGTACGAGCAATGGTGCTGAAATAAAGAGGGTAGAAAGTGAAGAGGCAGCCATTGAACTAACCTGAACTTTTGTCCATGACACCATTTTTTGGCTTGCGTTGTATTTTTCAAGAATGACACAAAGACATATTTCCTTTTGTCACAGGTTCCATTTGAAAAGCATTGTAAGAAAAATGACACTTGTGTTGCGCAACTTGAGGTGGATTTCAACTTCACGTAAGTCATATCATTCACAGCAACCGTAATAATAAAATCATACGACCAAATGTAAGCATAACTCTCTTTCTCTTAGGACCGCAACATTGTTGGTGGCAGAAGATAACTTCCTCAACGTGTCTGTCAAACTATCCAATAGCGGTGATGACTCATACTACACCAGCCTAACAATGCACTACCCTCCAGGCCTCTCCTTCTCCATGATGGTTCTTACAGAGGTGATGTAAAAGTTACAATTATAATTCCGTGATAACTTTATATATCCATCTGTACACCTGCTTGTTAAAAGAGTCTTCATCGGTTCATTGAGATAACACATTTTAAATGAAAGAAATCTAGGTGTCTGCCTGCTCTTCACGTCTGCTTAAGGCTAGCAATGCCAGCTACATTAGCCGCTACTAGCTTGACACCAGATTATCAAACTGAACTGTCGCTAGTGTAGTTGAATTGTGGGTAATGTAGGCGCCATGTTTTGACAAGGAATAAAATAAATAAAATGAAAAGAACGATGGTTCTGTTTTGTCAACTTTGATGGTGGAGTGGTCCTTAAAGTGGTCCTTAAATCCAAATGATCAGGAGGATGAGCAGGTCTCCCTTGAAAAAGAGATCGTTGATCTCAATGGGATTTTTTAACCTGGTTAAATAAAGGCTACAAACAAACAAACATCAGCCATTTGACAAAAATGCAGACATTGTCAAGAGTTAAATTGTACGGATAAACAAAATATGAAGGAAAAGTGATATGTGACTTTGAATGTGGATTAATAGTTGTGGTTGTTTTGAGTATATCAGAATCTGCTGATCTCTTTTCAACAGACAGGACAGTAGAATGATTGGGACCCTATGACATGTTCCCATATGCACATTATACCAAATGAGAATTATTTAATTGCTTCAGCCTGCTTGAGTATTTTTGTTGACCATATGGATCTTTTAAAGGCTGCAGCCGTCTACAGTACACATATTCTAATGACTACTTCCAGCAGGGTAAAGTGTCATGCCACAAAGTAAATGTTATCTTAAACTAGTTTCATAAATATGACAATGAGTTCAGTAAACTCTAACATACCCACCAGATCACCATCCAATGGAGCACCAAGAGCAAGCGATTCACAGCATGAAAATGCAGCCAACAAATGTGTGGCAAATGCAAAAGCCTGGACTTCACAGTATTACCCTCTATTCTGTAAGCCAAGTGCATAACTACTGCAAAGCTTTCTTTCACATTTCCTGTGCCACTTACAGAGAAAGTGAAATGAAGTTTGTAACCCAATGCAGGATGTGTTGGTTGTCAGAGCCAGGAGAGCAAATAGACAGTGGCGGCTGGTGAAAAATATATTAGGTGGGGCTGGGGAAGATGGAGACCGAGCACTACTAGGAGGGTCCAGTGTGTATGCTCCCCCTGAAGAACATTTTGAAAAATAACCCCTTAATTGATGACTCTTAGTGATGTAGTCATCAAAATTACTTTTACAGAAGGAGTAGTGAAGTATCACACAGAAATAGTTGCTATGAGTCAGCTGTTTGATTAATCCATAATCCCCAGTGTGGTGAACTATGAATCAAATGTTCCAAACACCTTGTCCTGGACATAGTTCATAGTAGTATAAACTGTTTAAACTGGGACCGAAGTCCAGAGTCTCCAGAAGTACTTTCACAAGCAGCCCTCTTCATCAAATACTGTTACGTTACCTCAAAGTATTCCCACACACAGACTGCCTTGGGCACTGAAGTTGTCGCCCTTTGGACGTCAGATCTGAGAAGGCTGATTGGCTGAATTTATGTTTTACTTGCATAGTTTTCGGGTAGCAACTTTTCTGAGCGCCCAGACTAGAGGGTAATCAAACATGTAATAATGGTTTAGATGTTATATATTAAACATTATTGTAAGTTTAAACATATACATTCTGAGGATAATTTGTGACATTTTATTTAAAAATATAAAAAAGAAAATTGATCTAAAAAATACACTTTCCACAGGGGAGGAAGGGGGAGGCGCCCTATCGCCCTCTATTGACCACTGCTAATAGACAACATCAAACTGTGAGAACTTGTGCTGTTAGGAATCTGAAAGGGGCCCAATTATGATCATTTTCAAGTTCATATTTAAATTGTATATACAAATATATATATATGTTCAGATGGTGCTTTATTTTTCTCATACTGCCTGTGCTGCATCACCTCTTTTCACCCTCTGTCTGAAACCAGAGCCCAGTCTGCTCTGATTGGTTAGCTGGCTGGCTCTGTTGTGATTGGTCAAAACAAAGGAGGAGGAACTCCCTCTGGAGGAAACTTTGGAATTTTAGCCTTTGCAGACCATTTACATGCACAGAAACCGATAGAACACACAACAGGAAAGGGAATACCCCAAAATGCAGAATAGGGCCTCTTTAAGACTTATAGAGTATATCAAAGGTTATCCATAGTAAATTGATTGCATTATGTATACAACAGCAGAGGCTTCCAAACAAGATGCCTCATGATCACCAGGACAGACTAACATTCACAAACATTTAAAAGCAATTAAAGTTCCCTATATCTTTCCCAAAGACAGATTGACCTTGTTGACTGCATCGTTCTCCGATCACGACTTTTGAATAGTAAACAGTATTGAATTCATAGAAAAAGCTGGATGGTCTCAGTTAAAACGTTTTTTGTTCTTCCTTTTAACAGTCAACCAGACCAACGCTCCACAGTTGTAATGATCTAGAAGGAGTTCTCAACAAAACAATATGTGGTGTCAGCCGGCCCGTGTTTCGCAGCAGATCCTCCGTGAGTCATACTGCACCCAGACACCCTCACACCAGACAGAAGTGTGAACTTTCATAAATCAAGAACTGAACCTTTGCCATTTGCAACTATGGCAACTTCTCTGATGTAGATGTTTTATCTTTGTCTTTGACTCACATCTACCATCTTTTTCCTGTCAAGGCAACATTTAGAGCTTCTTTCCGCATCATAAATGAGTACGAGTGGAATGATACAATTGTGATGACCATAACTGGAAAAAGGTAGAGGTTCTCTTGAAAAATCTAACACAAGGCGAAACCACACAATTTCTTTGAATATTCTTTAGTATCGTTTCGTTTTTCATGTTTAATATTCACATGAAATCCTTTTTACATTCCTAGTGAAAACACAAACTCCAACAATACCAATACCTTGACCAAGGACATCCCAGTACAGTTTGAAATCAAAATGGCAGTAACAGTGTAAGTGCCACTACACATGTTTTATTTTGTTACTGTAGTTTTTATATATGCCTTGTCTTTTTTATGTTATTTGAATTATTACATTTATTTCTATCATTAAGTCAGTTATTACATTATCCCAAAACTATCTGCATATTGAGATCATCTGTATTCTTTTTAGGAAAGAAGACCTTATTAGCTATCTGAACTTCACAACAGAGGACACTGGACCTAAACAAATAGTTACTACATATAAGGTGAGCCGTTAATTACTCTGCAACATGCAACCATCTAGACTCAAGGCACATTTTAACCAACCATGAGCACAGAACAAGCTGCCATTTTAGACCAGTCAGAAGATTTAGTGGCATCTAGTGGTGAGTCTGCATACCGTGTTTCTGTTAACCCGACACACTTAAGTTGTAAATATTCATAGGTGTCAATTATGTTGGGGATACTGGGGACAAGTACCAAGCACTTTTTGTGTATTTTGTGTTATAAATGTTCTGAGAAATTGCCTGCAAGCAAAGCTGGAAGAAGTACTTTTACTTAAGTAAAGGTAGGCAAACTAAATTATAACAATTCTCTGTTAAAAGTACAATTCAAATGTGCAAAAGCTTACAATACTTAAGTAAATGTATCAAAGTAATAGCATCAAAATGTACTTAAAGTATGAAAAGCTAAAGTTTTTCAGTAATGGCCCATTTCAGAATCACATATAAATGACTTGATTATACTTATTGATGCATGTATGTGTTTATCACAGATAGTAAAGGTGGAGCTCATTTTAATTCATTTATATACTGCTGCTGGATAACCTTGGGTTATCCCACAATTCTTTTTAAATGATTTTGTATTAACTAAGAATATTAATTTATAAAGTAACTAGTAACTCGTAGCATCATTTCGAGAAGGGTTTATATGTACAGTCTTGAGAACTGTTTGTCCACTCATACTTGGTGGGTGTATTTCTGGGAACCCAAATGGTGCAATTTGAACATGTGACACATGAATAGAAAATGTAAAAGCAAACATCTCCTGTTTTGCAGTAGGTGCACAACCACTACACTAGTAGCCAAAAAAAGACATGTAAGTTAAAAATAATTACTAAAAAACACTAAAATGACCCAAAAAAGTGCGCCGCTCAGAAACTTTAACACATTCATTTAACAGTTTCTTCTTGTCCGAGTTTTACATTATCTCTTATTGAACAGGACAAACGGCCATGCTGTTGAGTTGGATTTGTGTCATTGAAGACTGGTATGGGTCTTCATGCATCTTAAAGTATTGCTAACAAATAGTAAGCCTATGTTACTGTATTGATTGTGGGGGACACACAAAACAGTAGTTGTTATTTTATCTGAGTAAGTGTCCCCACCACTTTTCGTAAAACAAAGTAAAAACCGTTCTAACATTCGCTCCACTTTTAGCTCTGTTTGGTCTTTACCAACTCTGGGTGAATTAGCTGCTTCTTGCGATGCTAGGTTCACCAGCTAGGCGCTTGGTGGTGGGCAGATTACCAGTGCAGTGTATTGATTTGTATGACCAAATAATTACATCATGGTACTTGGGCCTTAAATGTGCTTGTACTGTAGACATTTTTGGCCTTTGGACAGTCAAATTAGCCTTTTCCCCTTGTTTAAATTGTTGCTAAGCTCAGCTAACCACTGTGTCTTCATATTTAACTAACAGAGTTTCACAATCTTATTATCTTAGTCTGAGAAGGTGAATTTAATTTTAAAAGATATTGAAATGTTCTTTAAAATGAAACAACTTTCTCTCACTGTTCGCAGATAGGTAATCTTGGTTTTAAGGACTTTCCTGTTAATGTGTCCCTGTTCTTCCCAACCAAACTGGACCATAACTTTGAAATGACAAACTATCAAGTCATTGTCCAGCAGGTAAGATCACTACTTAACATTACTTTTACTGCTTCAGTTTATAGAATTACACAACAATTAATGCATTTAACAACTTTTTAAAGAACAAAACTCAGTGCTCAAGGAAAACTGACAAGGAATCGGAAGTAAGTAACACATGTTTTCTATCACAATATTCTAACTGAACATGTTGTCGAATAACAAATCCCATAATACAATGAACTGCTGGTGTGTTACAGTACTGCTCACCAGACAAACCGTGCAAAGTCATTTTATGTGACAGTTTTATCCTGGAGAAAGAATCACCCACTGAGATTACATTGATAGGAGATGTACAGTTTAGGGATCTCAAACAACATGCAGCGGTACGTTGCAACAACGCACACCAAATATAACTTAATAAGTGGTGAATATCCAGTATAATTAATTGACATGCTCTTACTTTGCAGAATATTGCTTTTCTTAAACGATATACTGGAGATTCTGCAGAGGTTAAATTTAAAAGCTTCATAGAGGTTGACTATGACAACAACCGATATGTGCTCAGTTCTTACAAAAAAGTGGTAAGTTGACATTTGACCACAGTAATGCCATTTCAAAGGTATGGCTTTCTTTATTTTTTCAGGACACCCAATTATTAGTTGTAATTAACCACAAATTAAATGTTTTTTTACACAGGAGAAGTATGACAACGATCCAACACGGAAATGGGTACATTCAGTCTACACGAACAGCCAAAACAATTTGAATTATGAGACATTTAGATTCTCTTTCAAATAAACTCAAACCCACTTTGTAAACTCACATTTTCTCTGCCAACAGATGGAAGTTCGAGTTGAGTTTATAATCCCCCCGGATGAACTGCTGATCATTTTAACTGGATGTGGACTTGGACTCTTGCTTCTGATCATAATCACAGTCATCATGTTTAAGGTGAATTTCCAACATCTATTTTGAAATTCAAAGTTTAAATGTTAGAAACTGAAACAAAAAAATATTTAAATAATGCTTTTCTACTGTAAATTGGGTCTCCCTTGTGTTTGGCCTAATTGGTTCTTCTTATGTTTGTCATAAGTTGGGTTGTTTTAAGAGGAAAACGCTCGAGTATTACCAGGACCAGGAGGAAGAAGCTCTTCAGGCTGCCCCCCTAGCCCCCACCAATAAGACAGTCAGCCAATCAGAGACTGACGACAAATCTGACCAACTGGCAGAGGAAAAAATGTTTCTCGATGACGGTGAGGCGAGCGGCAGCTCCCCACCCACTGATACAATGGAAGTACTGGAATAATTGTATCTACACCCAGCCTTCTAGTAGGAGTAGAAGGCTGTTACCCTCTACTTACATGGTTAATTCCCTGTACAAATAAAGAAGTACCAAAAGGTGGTTGGGGTGGACTGTATGGTAAAATGAATACAGTACTTTCACCTACAGTACACACTGTTTTAGTTAAATTGATCACAAAACTAAACCATTACAAAAAAGTTTTTTATTTATTCAACTTTGCGAATTGTAATTTAATGTGGCATGGTAAGCAGTGGTCCTTGGGTTGGTAACCATACAATACAGGACAACAAATTGTAAGGATCAAGTGAGGATCAAATCAATGTTTGAAAGAGTTTTTTCTTAAGCCACCGATGCAGTTTATTTGCTCTTTGGGTAAACATGCAGTATTTGGAACAAACCTTTATATAACATATACTATATACCATTTTCTGTCGTATATATTTTACTTTTTCTATTAGATTGTTTTATAGGTGCAATGTTTAATGCAAAAATTGTCCATTGTGCATTAGAGCTTGAACATATAATATCATTGACTGTCTTCTATTTGCAGTAAAAATGTACAATATATGTTCAAGGTAACATTATCCTAGTACAGTTTGATATTGTCTATGTTGCTTTCTTTAAAGTCTGTTACTGTTGTTGTTGTTATGGTGTTGTAATGATTATTTTTTAATATGATCAACTGATATATATGCATACACATTATGTCAATATATACTTGCTGTACAATGTATTTAAATATTTAAAATATGATCAATAAAATACATATATTTTAGCATCATTTTATTGTGGGTTTTTGCTGGTTTTAAACAAATAAAGACACACAACACATCTTTGTACTTGCTCAAACTTAGAATATAATATATATACCAATTTACAAAAAAAGAACAAAAGTATAACTTACTAAAGTATCCTAAATTCGTGGATTAAACGAAATGAATCCAGCTGCCCCCACTACGGTGGCTGACAGGTGCAAACGCACTACAATGGTCCAAAACACTTCCATTAGGAGAAACGTGCAATCGCTTCAGAACCAATGTAAATATAAAAACACAAATGTGCCAAAACACATGCAAATGAAGACTTAAAGAAAAATGCTGCAAATAAAAAAAGAGATGCAAATAAAAGAAATGCTATAAATACATTTGCAGCATTTCTTTTTTATTGCAGCCTTTTTTGTAAATGCTGCACATGTTTCGTGAAGTTGGTGAAGTTGTTTCTTCATTTGCATATGTTTTGGCACATTTGTATTTTTTATATATATTTGCATCGTTTGTTGCGATGACAAAAGGCTCAGTCAGGACCCAAATGCACGTCACCAGAACTAGGTCAAGATCAACAAAGGCTTTTAATCAAAACGTAAAAATACAAGAAAAACACAAAACGCTCACTTTGAGGATCAAAACTGAGAAACTTGGGGATAACAAATGCTGAACAAAAAAAACTTTCTTGAAGAGTCAACAAAACTATATAAACTGTAAAGCAATTCCTGTACCACTTATTGGAATGATTCATAATACTTTACTGTACTCAAATGTTGTATCGGTTTTACCTAATTTGGAAATTATTGGCGATACTCTTAAGAATAACAAATCTATTAATGCTTCCCTGAAATCCCACATTTTTCACAATTTTAACAGAGGCTTATTTCCTCAAGTGACCGATTTAGACACTTTATCTGTAATGGAAAAAGCTCTATCTGATTTTATAAAATGGCCTATTTCCCCTAAAGCAAAAGAAACTCATTTTAAAATTGTTCATAAAATCTACCCGGTTTCTACTTTTTTAAATTCAAGATTTAAATTTGAAGTGGAACCATGTTCCTTTTGTAATTTATCTGATGAATCGTTGGAACATTTATTTTTCTCTTGCCCTTTTTCTGAATTGTTTTGGTCGAATGTGAGAGATTGGTTGTTACTTAAATTAACAAATATTCCGGCCTTCAAAATATATCACATTTTATATTATATTGATAATTTGGACTCTCCCATTTCTGATTTAGTAAATATAATTATTATTTTGGGTAAATACCATTTACATTGTAGTAAATGGAGAGGAGGCAAGCCCTCCTTTCCCTGTTTCATAAATGAGTTCAAGTCCTTTTTTCTGTCCCTTAGAAAAATACAATCTTGTAACCTGTCTATAAAGATTTGCAATGACATTTCCAAATGGTTATTATTTTAAGTAAGCTTAATGCCTCTTAAATGTTTTTGTGCCTTTATGCTTTTTTCTTTCCCCCTGGCTCTTACTGGATGTATTAGTTATGTTTTTTTGTCTTATTGTGAATGAATGTCTTGAACTTATGTTGATAAGTTGATGATATCCTCACCGAGCTTTTGTATGTTTAAAAAAATGTTCAATAAAAAAAAAAAAAAAAAAAAAAAGTTTCACTTCGGTTAAATGGATTCCTTGCGTCCCTCACTTGCGTAGTTTCCCTGAGACTAGTCCCTCCCACCAGGGAAGCATGGAGAGACGCAAGGAAACCACGAGAAGCAGGGAAATGAGATTTAAGAGCAATGGGACGTCCTTTCCTCCGGAGCGTCACGTGAAGCGACGTCCGTTTGTGATGACGCTGCACAGCTGATCGTCTGACAGCAGCCAGATCAGTGCATGCGCTGCATCGTCCAATCAGTGAGCGATACACAGTAAGGGGGCGGGGCGAGTGTATGAGGATTTCACCGGAGGATGGTCTGGTAGTTCCTCGATTATCGCTCCTCCGTTATCACTCCTCGATCCTCGGTCCTCCGGCACAAATAAGGCCACTGGGACGCTACTCAAGATGGCGCAGACAAATCAACTTCCGGTGATACCGAGCCCAAGGAGCGAGGAAATGAAAAATAAGAGAAGTGAAACGCACCCATGGAGTCAATCAAATAACACTAGTCCCTAGCATGGTCACAAGGGATGGCTGGCAGACTTGAGCCCTTTCTCATCAAATGTTCCCCTCCTCGACTCCTATACTCGCGTCTTAGTCCCGCCCACAGGCGATGCGAGCGGAGGAGTCGAGGAGGGGAACCAAGGAGAGAGGAGTCGAAGCAACAGGCGTTTAGAGAAATGAGAACTCTTCTCCTCTGAGCGGTCATTTTAAAGAGACGTCCATTAATGATGACAGGAGGCACAGCAGCCCTCTGTCTGATGGACAGATGTGTTCATGATGACTTATATATTTACTTTTAATTCATACACAATGTGGTATAATGAGACAATAACAGGCTACAGATGCGGACATGTACACTAGGGCTGTGCATCTCCACTGGTCTCACGATTCGATTCGATTACGATTATCCTGTCACCGATTTGATTTGATTCGATATCCCGATGCATCACGATTCATACCAATGCGTTGCATCCTCAATTTTTTTATATTACTGCACATGGTTTCTTTTTCATCAATGAATACATGCAGTAAATACATATGAACTCTCTTTTTATTATTTAGAAAGTGCTTCAGAAATCAATAACATAAATGTCTTGACATTAATTTATAAACCAAAATAAATCAATTGTATAGCTCGAGCATCCCTATACAGTGTCTGTGTGTGAAATTGTTCCATCCTCAAAAACAAAAAACTAATACTTCTGCAGTCTAGCTGCAGCTTCTAGCAACGGTCTTCTGAGATGCACGAGTGACTGGACCCTACACTCTTCCATAAGTGGGTAAAAAAGGACCCGTATTCGAATATGTGTTTTTATTCCATTTTTGTCATTTTGGTTAAGAAAAATCACTTGTATTATATTTTGGTTCACACTAGAAATATTTAATATTTCCCTATTTATAATTTTAGAAAAGATTTTTACATTTTGAAAAAAAAAACGAAATTCCATAGAAAATGTATGCAGGTCATTTTTGACCCACTTATGGAAGCTTGGGGTAGTAATACAAAAACTACAATTTCTTAAAAAGTATAAAATGTAAATTTGAATGGCATGATATTCAAAACATGTTTTTTGAGGAATAGCTGGAATATGAAATGATAAAAAAATGTAATTACAAAGATACTCTAAGAAAACCACCTCACCGGGTCAAAAAAGACCCACTGATGCATCTAAGGGTTAAAAAAAGGGTTAAAAAAAAGTCCTGAATGTGGCATCACAAACATGACTTGAGTCTGAACAACAGGAGTATTTACAACAGCATATAAAAACAAAAATACTGCATGGGTGCACACTTACATTCTCAATCAGTGATTAATATAAGTGAATAATAACGTTTCTATCAGGTTACTATCAGCCTGTCACTCATTATTTTTAGGGGGGGGGCGGGGTTTGGAGGAACAGAGGAGACGGTGATCGCGGAAGCTTTTTCCTCCTGCCTTCACAAACTTTACACACGTATCGTCTGAAAATAGCAATAGGACATTCATACTCTGCAATCCAAGACTTAACTAAATCCACCAAAAACCTGACATGATTGTAACGCGAGTATTTTTTTTAAAACATAAATCCCTGTGTGTCTGAGCCGCAGCGACACGGACCGATTCAGAGCGGATCCTTCTGCTGTTGGTTCTGGACTGGTCACTGGTGTTCGTGTTCTTGTGTTGGTGAATAAAGCAGACTGCTCCGTGTTTAGTGTCGCTGTGCCGCTGTCACGTTACGTCTGTTCCCTGATCTCTGCGTCACCGACCGATTTGATATTAAAGTGACAGAAAAAAAAACGTTATTGTAAAGCCGTGTATGGAGCTAATTTCCTGCCATAACTCCACAAACAAACTAAACAAGTTTTACAAATGCCTTATGATTCACTAACAAACACAGTGTGGTTAGCAAATACAAAACACCATCTACAAACTAATGCATTTAGTTTTGCAAATAAAAAACGTATCAAACAAACACATTACATTTTTCTAATAAATCATGTTTCAGACAAATTCAGCATAGATTTTACAAGTACAAAACTTTGTATTATTACCATAGGCCACCGAAGTTCTCAGACACTTGGAAAGGGAGGAGTTAGTTATTATCTGTAACCTCACTGCTGCTTTAACATAGAGTTGTTTATATATATTGTTATATAAATGTCTGTGTTGTCAACCAATTAACAAATGTTAAAAGTGCTACATTCTACATTTTTTTGCAGAATGTGCCATTCATTTGGGGTAATGCAATACACTACAGACGGCACATTTTTCATTCATAAAAGTGTATTCATGCAGCACCTCTGGAATATTTTACTTTTGTTTTCTAGGACACAGCGGTTTTGTATACAAGAGAACAAAGACTTAAACATGTTTAAAATATTTTAATGTTCAATTATTACACTTTTGACGGTGCACAAAAAATAAGTTAAAGACTGCAAGAAATATGACAAAAGATTAAAAAAAAGGTTGAAAGGTTGTAAACAAAGAAATTAATGTCCTCATTACTGACCACAAGGCATGATTAATCAATATTATAAGTGTCGTTTCACATAACAGTATTCCAACATTAATGTCAGATACAGTGGAGCCTTAGAAGGTCCTTGGGTGATTTGGGAAACACGTCAACATTTAACCATTCTCCTTCCTTCTTCCGTCTTGGTCTACAAGTCGATGTTGGAATGAATGGCTGGAGGTCTGATGAGTGTGCAACAGAGTTCTCAGTGGACTGTTGGACTGGGAGTCTGAGAAAAAAATAGAAACAATAACATGAAAACAGGAGAAAGAGGCACAAAGAGTGGTACACTATCCAAAGAATGGAAGGATACAACACAACTCTGACTGAAGAACCCGACAGTCTAATTATGTCCAATGGAAATAACCCAAACCAAAGTAAGTGATCTTACTAAAACATATTGTGTGTGTGTGTGTGTGTCCAAATGCCAATACGTATTTTTTTTACCCTCGAGCTTGATTTTGTTGCTCACTGATGTATTTTTATAATTTTTCAGTAACGTGAGAGAGAACCTGGGCACTGGAGTTCATTTTAAGTTACCCCCCCCTCACCATCATGCTGTTGTTAATACTCACTACAGCACCAAGTTTGATTCCATAGACTGTATAGTATTTGTTGACTTTACACCATTGGTTGTTGGGATTACCGTTTTGACACCTTGGCATTTGGCATTACGGCCATGGCAATCCTGTTTTATTCCAACCAGCAGTGACTGGAGAAGGCAGAGCTAAGTAACGGAGCGCTGAACAAGACATTTAACTCTCATGAACAGAAAACCTTTGGTGAATTGGTTAAAGTTGTAATTCAAAAACATTTCACTCTAAATGAGAAGATAATAAAAAAAATTAACATCATGCTGTATTGAAGAACAATTAAAACTAACAATTGAGACCATAAACTTGTCAAGTCAAATGTTTACTAAAGGAAATAATGATAGTGATAAGTAGGTTCATTTTCTCAGACTTCTATACAATCTGACTTCTTTTTGCAACCAGAGGAGTCGCTAATGGACATTAGAAAGAATACTTGGATTTACAGTCTCGGACATTCATTCGTTCCAGGAGTACAAGCCAAACTAAACTAAAAGAATAAGGCTGACCACAACAGACTGATGTTTTTTTGCTGAGAAGATAACCTTCACAGATATTTTCTGTAACATAGCAATCCATCCTGTTGTCTTTTGGATATTTTAGTTGGACTGAAATGGTAAATCGACAAACCGACCAAAGTGCCATCCATCGAGCCGTGCAATTAACACGGCTATAAATTATACTTCATATTTATGACCAGATTTGACCTCTTCAGTAGCAACCAATAGGCTTTGGGCAGAGATCCACAGATAAGGTGTAAAGCTGTAAAATACAGACTGACGCATTGTTGGTTTTGGTGTCTTCACGGGATATGACGATAAATAATAAAATATACAGCAACTGTCAACATTTGATATTATGATAAAAAAGTAAGTGATCAAAGTAAAAAAGTGGAATAAAGGGAACCGTTGCATGTGCCATGTGTACAAAAGGATTCCTCATACAGTACTTGCATTCAAATGTCTACCTTCTTTTTCCATAACAGTTGCTTCACAAAGACACACCCCTTGACCGTTTTATCCATCTTTTGACTCTCCCTTAAGCAAGAAAAACAATTAGGGATTATTTTTGTATTCGAACCGGATTTAAACATTTATATGTATGAATAGTTATATAAATGTCTTAATCAGGAATAAATGAACAGCATACCTGTTGCTCTGCATCCTGTTGGTACGGGCTCAGGCTAAGAAAGAGATTCTTAAGAACGGAATTTGCAGTGGATGCTACAGCAGGACCACCAAGACCACATAATCAATGGCAAATTATAATTTCACAATACAATTTAAAAACAGTGTCCTTACCTTTGTGGGATGAGATGTCAGGCAGCTGCTGATGAGCATGGGTTGAATCAGACACAACGCCACGGACAGGAACCAGCTTCTGCTTTGTAGGCTGATCAACATGAGCCAAGGAACTGTCTTTATTTTCTAATTTAGGATTAGGTGATCTTGGAACATGAGCGAGTTCTTTGACAGCATTTATAACCTGGTGTGGCAGATGTTTCTCTAATTTAGAAGTGCTTTGTTTGGAGTTTGTTTCATTATTAATTGAGTGTTGCGGACCAGAGGAAGTCTTTACATCCTCTGTCTGAGGCTGCATGCATGGGTTAGGAGCAGCACTGAGGGGGGCAGCAAACAGGCTGAGGAAGGACCTGGCAGAGGCTTTTTCCGTCTCAAGCGCACTTTTAACATGATCACTTGTGCGATCTGCAGACTCTGGAGGGGAAGATTGAGGACAAGAGGATGTTCTTACAGAATGGTCTATGTGCTGCAGAGTGTCAGTGATTGGGCTTGCGAAAAGGCTATGAAAGGGTCTTCTCAGGGTCTTTTTACATCCAACGTCCAAATCAGTGCCATGTGTCATTTTACTGCTGCACTCGGCTGTGATTTCAGTTGAACGATGCTCCTGCGTGCCACGTTTGAGACCAGATTGTGTGTTTTTGAAGGGCGGGGGCATCTCAGTGGGTTGTTTGGCTGCAGAATGACGACTGACAGAGTTTGTAGGATCAGTTGTATTAATGGAGCCGGTGACAGGTTGTACTGTAGCAGCAGCAGCTCCACCTTTAAATTTGGTGAAGCTTGAAGAGGGAGAAGGCTTTACTGAGGCTTGTGGGTCAACCGTCAGAACAGAGATATGTGGCCTCAACTGCGTAGGCTGTTTGGGAGTAGTCTTATTAAGGGGTCTTGGCAAAATGCTTCTGTGAGTAGTGCTTCCACCTTCACTCTTACAGTTAATGGAGCTTGTCATATCGGCATGCAGGTGCATGCTCCCTCTCACATCTTTGTTTTCGGAGGACCTCTTTGCCACAGTGACAGAAGTATGCAGCAAGCCCAACTTGACTTCATGAGCCGTTCTGGGAGCAGGTTTCAGAGATTCTTGCCGACAGTCACTTTGCTTCGTGTAGTCCCTGTAGGCCGGAGTAAGACTAGGGCAGGTCTTGGAAACCAGGCCAGTGTGCACTTTGAGGCTCTTGAACATTTCAGATTTGTTCACTTCATTTCTTGTATTCTCTGAATACAAGACCTTCTTATTTGGAGTTTCTGAGCTTAGCAGAGGATAAGCGATCTCATCACCTTCGGTTTTTGGGGTGTAGGATACAGTTTGTACAATAGGAAGGGTTGATTTAAAGGACCTGAGAACAGCATTCACAGAGTAAGGAACTTCCTTTGGGTTTGCTGAGCCTGAAGTGCCTAATTCTTCACATCCAGGAGTTGTAAAGAGGCGAGGGAAAGGTTTGAACAATTGAGGTCCAAGAACGGCTTCCACTGAATAACAGACTGGTTCCTCAGGATTAAGATTACTTGACTGGGGGGGTTGATGTTGCTCATCAGCCAGTGCTTCAGTCGCACATAGCGTGGTTTCCTTCTCTGTATTGGCTTCTGCGCTGTTGTAAAAGACAGGCCTGAAAAGAAAAAACATCAGCATACCAGAAGCTAAATGTTAATTTGATTGATTGATTAGATAAATTTCTGTGCAGGAATTACACTGATTTAACAGAATCTAAATGACAGGGTCGAGCTTGTATGTGCATACCTGAGTGGTTGCAGGGGTATATCGGGGGTCTTGTCTGCTTCTATCATTTCTGACTCATCTGTGTTTTCTGGCGGTCGCAAAGACTCCTGTTCAGATCTTTTTGTTAGTTCAATGAGGTCCTTTACCTTTTGCAATGCCTGTAGTGAGAAGAAGCAAAAACACACATCAGTCTTCAGCACAAAGCAATCTCTATATGAAACCATTTAAGAACATTTGGTAAAACTTTGTGAGTCCCCTCTCTATAATACACATTAACAATACTTTGAATGCATTTGTTTATAGCACAGTAGTTTAAAGTGCCATATTATAAAATAATTAGGATTGTTTATGAGTGATTTTAACTTTTTGAAGGTGGTTCATAATTAATTACACACCTCATCCAACAGTTTGGCTTTGATGTCATTAAGAGGCTCATGGGAGAACTTGCAGTCTGCTCCTTTAGAACATTGTCCTCTTCTGTGGAAGAACTTGCAGGGGAAGGACTGTGCAGCTTAGTAAAGGAAATGTTAAATATTAAACAAATAGCAGTACAATATATTATACGTTTATGAAAGGTATGTACAGATTATTGCTCAACCAAAGGATATCATGCATGTATGGGCAGCTCTCTCCTTTTTGGCAGAATCCTATAATGTAGAATTTGCACACTTCTTTGACGAGATCATTGCAACCCTTAATGTGTTCCAGCTGACAGGTGTCCTCCTGTGTGCAGTAAAGGGAAGGACATTGCAGTAAATATTATAAGGGCAACCAATAAAGTCCAGAGGAATGAAACGTGTTGCCATCTTCTGCAAGTCATTTTTGTATCTTATCAATCAAAATGTGTATATTTTTGTACATAGTCAACATAACCTGCCTTGATGCACTTTCCCCAGAGGAAATGTCGACAAACTAAGCGCCCGTTCACCAGCATAGCATTCTGGTCCTTGAACTCCTCAGTCATGAACTTCGGACGTTGCACTTGGACCTCCTGAGAGGAAAGATGAGTGTTGCAATAAGATTATAGTAAATATGTTGCCAAGGGAACATTATTGCCACCCTAACATACTTTTGTAACTTTAATTATTGTTTTTAATACGTTATTCTATTCTATTATTTGATCTGAGCTTGAATTGCAACATTGCCTTGTGTTGAAATGTACGGTATTAATATACTTGCCTTGCCTTTTAATTGGCATGTTGAGCTTTTGTTAGAAGAAGTTAGTTAATAACATTTGGTGGATTGATTTGTCTAAATTAGAAGTGTCTCACATATGAAGTTGCTTTAGAGGACTTCCATCAGTATACAAATCATTTGAAATGTTAGACCTCTTCCAACAGCACAGGTTTTTGATTTATAAAGAAAGTTTAGTGTTATTATAATGGGACCTGGTTTGTGGGACTTTGTATGCCCTCAGGCTTTTGTGTCACAACTGGTAACCTTTCAATTAAATAAAAATGTGGGCAGTTCGAAAGCCAAAGAAAGGCATTCCTAAATATCATGCTATTTTTAGGTAAGTCACCAGTCACCTTAAAACTCATTCCTTAAGTGCCAAAAGCATAATGAACCCATGTCCATTTGTTATTTGATGAAGAAAAGTCTTTAAAAAGAGAAAATTAGCCAAAAAATAAAATCTATTTCCCCTCTTACCTGCAGGGCTATTTATTAATACATTGTTTTGTGTAAATTGCGGAGTTTGGGAGAATGGAGATATCAGCCGAGAGATGTCTTCCTTCTCTTTGATTTAGTGGGACTAGATAGCACTTGTTTTGTGGTGCTCTAAGCAAGAAAACAAATAACCAGGTTTTTCAACTCACATCCATGAGGAGATGCATGCTTCATTCTGCAGAATGATACGGTGGGCAGTTGAGTCTCAAATCTACTACTACTACAGGTAAGAGGGAAAATATGGATTTTGGGATGTAAGCAGGGGCTGAATGCAATTCAAGCAGCTTCAGATGACAGGCTGGTGATGGATACAATCTATCTTGATGGCCACAGTCAAGCTTACCTGCTTATTGTTTTTATATGTACAGTCTCCTCTACCTCTTCCCCAGGCAGGTCTAGACTGATGGCCCCCACCTCTGTTAGCAGGGGTCCATCTGTCCCTCTGCTGCTGCTGGGTCCCATTATGGTTATTTTGATTTCTGTATTTCTGACCCTTGGTGATTGTGTGTTCACTCTGAGTGTTTTGCATATGGTGGTGCATGGCCTTGACGCCTCCGTCTCTGAAGGATGATGCATTATTGCCTCTGGTTGTCTGGGCTTGGTGAAATTGCTTCTGTGGAAAGAAAATGCCAAAATATTATAAAGGGTTAATATTTTAAGATTATTCAAAACTTTGAACTTCAAACTGCTCCGGTTCATGAGCAGCTGTATGATTGTCCAACACTGGGAGGTGTTACTATTATTTAGTTCTGTACACAATGTCAGTAAAGGAACACTGAATAAAGTTGTCTGAATTATTCAACTTTTACATCCATTTTTTACATTTAATTTAGAAACAAATCCCTTATATAAAAGTAAAACCTAGATTTAGTTTACGTCGTAATGGGTTTCTTGATATAAACCATAAAAATTAAGAATATTTGGTAACTTTCCAGCATAATAGAAAAATACTATTTCTTCATTTTTTATAAATGCAACTCATCTTATTGATTCAATGCAGACATCTTTTGTTTTTACTTTTCACTTAACATTTGCTTGAAAGAAAAGAAAATCTACAAACTTCTAAAAATGATATAGTTCAAGTTCATCTGACCTTTTTATTGGGGCCAGTCTGCTCACTCTGGGGTTTCCTCTTTCTTGCATTGCCTCGTTTTCCATTCTCAGGCTCGTTCCTGTAAAAAACAAAATTAGTTTGTAATAAGTATGTAGATTTAGGCCATTAAAACCATAGATATATATAAACACTAGATGACTCACCCGCGCTGCTGGCCAATGGAGACCATTGGAGCCATCTTGCCACAGACAGCTCGCTCATTCATAACATTATGTCTATGGTGCACTATTGAAATAACCGTAGATTGCTCAATTTTCAACCGGTTTGGTTTGTTATAAACATCAAAGATATAGTTATGATACTGCATACTTATAATTATAATCATGTCTTGTTGTCTCCTGTATCATAGCCATGCTAATAACGTTTATAATAAACCAAACCATTTGTAAATCAGTCAATATTTCAGCGAGTTAAAGGTGGGGTAGGTAAGTTTGAGAAACCGGCTCGAGATACACTTTTTGTTATATTCCATGGAATGCTCTTAACATCCCGATAACAATGAATATCTTAAGTGCTTTGACAACAAATCCATACATAAATGTCATCTGTGGAAGCCGTAGTACTGTAAAAAGCATGACCAATCATTTTAGCTGGCCCGGCTAAAATAACTGGATGGCCTACCTGCCTGTCAGCCTTCCATCTGGGCACAAACTTATCTCGTGCCCTCATTGGGCATGTGCGCGTTCGTGTGTGTTGGAGGAGGGGCTCTGTAAGGAAGTGGCAGATTTTTTGCGGTTGTGTATTTTCAAATTCTAGCGCACTCGAGCTGGTTTCTCCAAAATTACCTACCCCACCTTTAAGAGTATTTCTGTGCAGATCACTCACCTTACAACAGCTGTAGCAGTAGTTGTTGACTGTGGCAAGATGGTCACCGGTGAGCTACGCTGGCGACTCCCCCTTGAGCCATCTAGTGTTTATATATATCTATGATTAAAACTATCTGTGTCCTTAAAAACATATCGAAGCTAAAGGCTAACTATCGTTTAAAATCCAAATACCTGTGAGTAAAGTTTTGCTGAGCAGGGCTCCTGTCATCCTCTTCCACAGCAGAGAGTCTCGAGAACAGGTTTGCGAAAGCCATTTTATTTCGCTCGTCATAAGATAGTTGTGTCTTCTTGTGGAAATAGTTAAATGGCAAACATAACCGAGGTTATCACCATCTGGTCAGGAGATATGGAAGGAAAAACTAACTTGCGCACATAAAATAACAAAACAAAACGAAGCTTTGCTAGTCTTTGACCGGTGTCCCAAATAACGTTTATGTTCAGGCCTAACGTGCCAAATATATTCAAGTTTAGTGAATGAATTAAGGTTCACATGGTTCACTCATGCCATCACTCAATCGTCCCGTGGAGCATCTTTCACCTCTACTTCCGTGTTTTCTACTGACGTCACGGACTTCTTCTTCTCTTCGTTTTTTGGCGGATTGCAAACAACTTAAAAGGTGCATACCGCCACCTACTGTACATGAGTATGAATCATCATATCATACCAACTCTTTAACCTATGATCTAATCAAAATAAATAAATAAATCAACAAAAAACAAAAAACAAAACATGAAATAAATAAAACAAAAATAAAAATCTATGTTCTTTCTTGACCTAATGTTAAATTCTTTTTCCTACCCCAGTTTCACTCAAGAATGTAAACAGTGCCTTTCTGGTAGCTCTTACTCCCTCTCCTTTTGTTCCCAAAATACCAACCACACTCCATTCCCTCTCTGCCTCTAAAACTTTAGCCTTTAGTTTTTCTCTTTCCGCTTTATATATGTCACAATGTCACTTTTCCCCATGACATACAGTGTACCATTCAATGCTGTGTGATTTATTCTGAGTCTAGCGATCGTGATTTCCTCCCTTCTGTTTCTTTCTTTATAAATATGAATTGTAATTGTCTTTTGTACTTTGTGATATTCTTTGCCTTTCTGGTCTTTCTCCCACCTTTTCTGCCAGATCTCCATCCCTTTCTTCTTAATTACTGCTTTTCCTTCTCCTTTTCCAAGTTGAACTGGTAATGTTATTTCCTTTTGTAGTGCACTTTTTGCTAATTTATCAGCACACTCGTTCCCTTTCACCCCCTCATGTGCAGGCACCCAGCAGAACTGCAGATCTATGCCGCCTCTGTGCAATCTTAACAGGCTATGATTCAGTTCTATGAGAATGTCTTCTCTGGCAGTTGTTGTTGATTGTATGCTTTGTAATATGGACAATGAATCTGTGCACATCACCACCCTATCTGGTCTGACCTCTTCAACCCACTGTAATCCTATTATTACTGCCAGCATTTCTGCTGTGTACACTGATAATTGATCAGACGCTCTTTTTGATATAGATATTTTAAATTCTGGGATGTATATACCAATTCCAACACACTCTTCCTTGTTCTTAGAACCATCTGTGTAAATTTGTAGGCAATTGTAATACTTTTCATTCAGATACATACTTGTTTTAATTCCCACTTCATTTACTTGCCACTCTTTTTTCCTTTCTACAATACTCATATCTATTTTAGCTTCTGGGAAAAGCCATGGGGGAACACTGCTAAATGGGGTTGCTTTAGCAAATGTGATATTCTCCACTCCATATGCCCTCGTTCTCTCCTTACTCGTCCAGCCAAACCCACGTCCCTGGAATTTTGCATATTCCCAGCAATCCTGTAATATTCTGTTTGAAATATTTCCTTCTCCACTTCCTTGTAGCCTGACCCAGTATGACAGAGCAAGTTTCTCTCTTCTGATCTCCAGAGGTGTCTCTCCTGCTTCTATCAGAACTGCATTGATAGGGGATGACTTTATCGCTCCAATACACAACCGCAATGCTTTATATTGTATTCTATCAATTTTTAAAAGCGATGTTTTTGCTGCTGCTCCATACACTATACAACCATAGTCTATTGTGGACCTCATAATTGATCTGTAAATGTCTATTAATGCTTGTTTGTCTGCGCCCCAGTTGCATCCAGCTACAGCTCGCAATAAATTTAATACTTTTTTGCATTTTGTTTCCACTTGTTTAATATGCATTTTCCATGTGTATTTGCTATCAAACCACAGTCCTAGGTATTTGAACTCATTCACCTTTGTCATTGGACGATCATATAGTGTTAGCTGTTGGCCATCAATCTTGCGTTTGTTTGTGAATACCAGCATGACTTGCTTTCTGACATTTTGAATCCCCAGTTATATGACCACCTCTCCACTTTTTTAATCGCTCTAGCTATATTCTCCATTACGTATGGGGCATTTCTTCCCCTCATCCAAATAGCCCCATCATCTGCGTATAGAGCCGATTGAATGCATGTGTCTAAACATGTAAATATATCATTGATCATGATGTTAAATAATATTGGACTGACTGCACTCCCTTGGGGGATACCATTTTCTATTTCAAAATAGTTGGAAATATCTGCTCCAACCTTTACTCTAAATGTCCTGTCTGTTAAAAAGGCCCTTACCCAATTGTACATTCTCCCTCCAATACCCATTCTACTCAATTTGATCAGTAACCCATCCCTCCACATACAGTCATACGCCTTTTCAATGTCAAAGTACACTATTGCCATTATCTCTTTCATTTTCAATGTTTTTTCCACATCATTACTCACTCTTACTAAAGCATCTATTGTGGACCGCCCTTTACGAAATCCGCTCTGAAAACTACTCAGCAGCCCTTTCTGCTCCAGTACATGTGAGAGCCTACGGACAATGATCTTTTCCATCCATTTACATAGGTGTGATGTAAGAGCTATTGGTCTGTAGTTACTAGGGTTAGCTGTATCTTTCCCTGGCTTATTGAATGGTAGCACGACTGCTGTTTTCCACAAACTTGGCATATCTCCTTCTCTCCAGATTTTATTGAAAAGACTCAGCACCATTGTCATAGTTTCCATAGGCAACTGTCTAAACATAGCATAACATAGCTGGTCTTGTCCTGGGGCTGTATAACCTGTACCTTGTAAGGCTATTTTGAGTTCTGACATTGTAAATTCCACATCCAGAGCTGACCTATTATTCTGTCTCTTCTCCTTCACGTTTTCATTCTCTGCTAGTAACTGCTGTTTTTGCTGCCTATGAATATCACTGAGATGTTCCCCGCTATGTACTGCTGCAAGTGTCCTTCCTAACATGTCTGCCTTCTCTTTATCTGTCACTGCCAGCCTCTCCCCATCAACCAAAGCTGGAATTTTAATGGATTTCCTTTTCCCACTCATCCGCTTAAACATGGACCAGACATCACCTAATTTTACTCCTCTGCCAATGGTAGAACAAAATTCTCTCCATGTTCTTTTTTTTGTGTATTTGATTGTCCTTCGAGCAGCTGCCCTTTTCCTTTGAAACTCTATAACATTATTTTGTGTCATGTTTTTCTTTAATTCTCTAAATGCATTATTTCGCTCTTTAATAGCCCTGCTGCATTCCTCATTCCACCATGGCACCACTTTCTTCCTACCCTTGGTTGTTGTTTTGGGTATACTGTTCTCTGCTGCATTTAGAATATGTTGCGTTATTTGGCTTGTAATGACCTCTATGCTTCCCTCTGATGTTAGCAGGTGTACCGACTCCTCACACCATATCCTACATTTCCCCCAATCAGCTTTAGCAAAGCACCACCTGGTTATTGCACCTCCTTCCTGTATATATACATTAGTATTCATTTTAGTAAGCACTGGATAATGGTCACTTCCTACTGTGGATTTATTCAAAACAAACCATTCGCATGTATGAACCAAACAGTTTGACACTAATGTCAGATCCAGGCATGAAACCTTCCCCCTGTGTACTTTCTACTCTTGTGCCATGTCCATCATTAAGGCATACTAGTGTTCTTTCCTCCAGCATTTCTTCCACTATATTTCCGTTACTGTCTGTATGGTTGCTGCCCCATAGACTGTTGTGTGCATTGAAATCACCACACCAAACTTCCTTCCTATGTTTATTGCCTGCTATTTCTTTAAATATATCAGTGGTTAGATTTTTACATGGGTTGTATAAATTGATTATCCTAATGTTATCTTGTTTCCTAGGGTTGCAGATTTCCACTATAATACACTCTATATCATCAGGAGATTGCACCTCCCTATATGCCACACCATCTTTGAGAAACGTGGCACACCCTCCACCATTTTGATTATTATCTCTATCATGCCTTATACAGCTAAATCCTGGAATGACAAAGTCTAATTGAGGTCGTAACCAGGTTTCTTGCACACATATTACCTCAGGGACTACCTCTAGATCATATATATATTTCTTGAATTCTTGACCATTAGCTATGAGGCTTCTTGCGTTCCACTGTAGTATGTGCAGCACCATGATTAAGGATCTAACCCTCATCCTGATTTTCATTTTCCCCAGCTCCATGTATAGTTAGCATTGCATGTATCTGATCTGCTTTAATATCTTTCATGTCAAGGAATTTTCCAGCTGCCTCCACAATGGCTTTGATTCTATCACTTTTCTTTTTTAACTGCAATGCAACATTTACAGTATGGCATATAAATACCACAAAATTCACCTTTTTCACTCCTAAAACATCATCATCCTCTTTACTCTTGGTGGCGCTGTGGGGTTGGATTTGAAGATTACTTTTTGGTGTGTTCCTGACATTTTGTATTGTAATGCTCTGCTCTATTCCACTAGGGGTCTTATTGATTGTTACTGTTCCCCTTACTTTCTTTATTGCTTCTGCGTATGAAACTTTGTTTGTAATCTTAACTCTCTGCACCTCTCTGGCCTCTCTCTGCACTTCACAACCTCCAAACGCAGCACTGTGATCTCCTCCGCAGTTACAACATTTAACCTTTGCATCCTTTTCACATTTTCCATACTCATGTTTTCCTCCGCATCTCGCACACCTTAGCTGTCCTTTACACTGCTGCGCTGTGTGCCCCATTCGTTGACATGCGTAGCACCTGAGAGGTTTGGGGATGTACTCCCTAACCATGAAGTTCAAATATCCCATTTGTACTGCCTTAGGTAAGATTCTCTCAAACTGAATGAGAACTGATAATGTTTCTTTGAGTGTACCATCCCGTTTGCTTTTAAGCCTTGTGACTTCCACTATTTTGCCTCCTTTTAATTCACTTTTCACATCTTCCATTGACATGTCCAATGGTACTCCTGAGATTACTCCTCTCAGTTTCGCCATTGCTCCTGGAACATGCGCCTTCATTTTCTCCCCATTCAGTGAGTTCATTCCCAGAATCTTTTCCTGCTGCTGTTTGTTATTGGCATGTATCAATACCCGCTTATTGTTCATGAATTTAGCAAATTTAATTTTTCCAATCTCTTTTTCAATTGCTTTGGTAAGTTTAATCGGGTGGTAATGCCCACCATCCTGATTGAATTCTATTACCACTTTCCACTCG